TTCAACCAATTATCACTTGACCTATGCATTGTGGTACAGCAGTTGGGTAACCCTCAGTTGGCTGATTGGAGGACTCCTTTCAAGATGGCCTCCTTCTCTTAATCCAGCAAATGGGATCTGGGCTTGTGAGATTAGGTGATGCCCTTCGTCTTGCATGTGTTGCCTGTCAGTGTTTCGGGTCAGCTAAGTGGATGTGTAAATAATTGAGCAACTAATGACTAATTAACAGATTTATTGAGAAAAGGAGGGGCACATTTTAGCTCTGACAGTATTTTTTGGTGTTTGGTTTTGGCCCAAAGGTCATATGCTTGAATGGCATACAGCACTTTTTTATTGGCAGATCTGCGTGTATGTGTGTATGTGTGTGCATGCATTAGTGTGTTTTCATTAGGGATTTGGCAGTAGCAATACTCGAAAAGAGCAGTTGCCTTGAAGCAATATGTGCGCACAGCTCACACCATTTCTCTCTGTACTCCCATCCTTCCACCCTCACACCCTGCGTATTCAATCTGCGATATCACTGGAATGAGTGGGTGGTCTTTGTGTGTGAGTGTGTGTGGTACAGTATCATTGCAGTGCGTAGGTGGTGTAACCAAAGAGAGGATGTTGCGTGGGAGTGAAGTACCATTGAGGTGGGCATGATTTATGTGTGTGTTGGAGAAAGTTCCTTTGTGTTAATTATAACCCCTCTGATCACCACCGGTTTGCCAGTAGGTACGGATTAAATAGAATATGACACAAAGATAACTGATCCCCAAATATGTAAGTGAGATCATGGTGATAAATGCACACTGAAAATATCAGAAACATTTTTGGAAAAAGTGAAAGATCAATTTGTTAAACGTTGTGATCTATCAATCACTCAGACTGTGCATTACACAATAGTGCAGGGAAAACTGTGCGCTTGTGTTCAAAGCCATGCTTTTTCATGCTTGTGTGACTTTGCTTAAATAACATGAAGTGGTAAGCATAATTTAGTTCTGTTTCTAAACAGGAAGCAGTCATTGTGGCTTTAATGATTTGAAAGTGTTCTCAAAAGTATTAAGGATGAATTTAAAAACCAACTAATCAATCAACACTTTAAAAATCTTTCACTAATATGGTATTTTTCATGTTCCAGTAAATATGTAGGACATTAAATAAGCACCGCAGCTGAGCATTTCCGTCTTGCTTAACATACGTTACAAACCCGAGGGCTCGACCCCATCAGCCAGGGAATGGGGCTAACATTGATCAAACACCAGCAACACGTTATTAAGCTATCAAGTCAAAGTTGTCGACGTGGACTCTTTTCATATCAGCTCAGCAGGAAAATGTCCTCTTATCTCTGTTTCAAGATGTGTGTGTCTGCGAGTGTGTGTGTGTCACTGTAAACCAGACAAACACTGCACAGTGGAGGAGACAATTAAAATAAAGATGATGTTACACAATCTGACAGCAACGTATGTTATTGCAAGTGTGCCGCGTGTCCCGGCAAGTGTTCGTTTAAGTGCTTCGCTTCTGATGACAGTTTTAATTTACACAGCTAGCAACTAGCTGTTTTCCAGTGTGCTCAAGGCAAGTGTTTGTTCATGTGTTCTGGGATTTTTTTCTTCTTTCCTTTAACCAAAACAGCACAGCACTAGATTTATGTTCCAGGTCCTCCTGAGTTAAACATTTAGCACAGATCTTTTTCTATTTTGCAAGATAACTTAGGAAGAACAGGAAGAATGGAGCCTGCGTGCAAGTGGCTGAGCGGGAGGCACAAGGGCAGATTTGCATATTCATATTATGCATGCTAAATGAGGCAAACAAAAGCCCCACAAACTATGGATATGAAATGCATAATTTTATCTTTTTTTTAAATTTGATGAGCATGTTTTTTTAAAATCACTCTAGCAAAGCAAACCTTCAGTAGAGTGGTGGCTGTTTTTTTTTTAAGTAGTATTTTTGGTTTGAAAACAGCTTTGTTTCACAAAACACTGCACACTAACTCATTAATCAATATGTTATTTTAGTGTGCTGTAATAGTTTCAGTAGTTGTTTTATCATAACGTGTATTTGGGCGCCTCTGGATCTTCTATCTGACATACACGCCATGTAAATATACTCTGGGGCACAGTCATAAGGACTGTGTATGTGAGATATATTTAGCTTCCTCTGTTAGTCTTGCCTGTCAGTGGAGCTGACATTGATCAGGGGGGAAATGACAGACTCACTGTGCGTCAAAGCTTTCACATGTTTCTGCACCGCTGATTGTTACCAACACAGAAAGTGTTACGCTTTTCATCACATTTGGATTCTTATTGTATAGGCTTTCCTTTGGTCTTTTTAAATGTGTGTTGATGTGTATGCCTGTTATTTAAAAAACAAAAAAACAGCAACTCTTCAACCCTGTAAAATGGCACATTTAGATTTGAGATATTTTAATTTGTTGACACAGTAGACTTTAGAAACATAGCAAATTATGTTGATACAAAGTCATTTTTGTACATACTGTACCATAAAGCAGAGGTTACATTTAACAGTACATCCAAGACATTTAGAAGGTGCTCTTATCCAGAGTGGCTGACAGTGATTCAACGGTGCTGGAGTGACAATAAAGAGAGTGTGGGTGTGAATCCCACTGTACGTTTATCACTGCTAAAGCTTTTCTTATGTTAAATAAGTGCTGCTTCTAACAGCCCAGGGACAGCAAAACAGCTCAGCTTCTATCAAACCTACTGCTAAAAATATCGGTGCTTTTGGTTGAATAAAAATTAAGTCAGTGAGTCAGTAAATGCAGATAATACTCCTGTGCCGGGGATCATGTTTTGATCTTGATAAAGATGGTTAGTGTACTTGTTCACCCAGTGCAGTTATATAATCTGTGTTAGCCATCGTCAGCTATGAGTATATTTATTATGTGAATATGCAAAAGTCTCGAGCCACCTGTCATTTCTTTAAATTTTGCCTCCAAGGAACCAGATTTTCTTATCATTTCTTTAAAAAGTGGTCTTGAGCAAAAGTTCTCCAGGCTTTCTGAAGATCCTTTAAAGGTTTTTCTTTGGTCATTGGCTGCTTTTTCACTCATTTTCAGTCCAGTCCTTGTACAGGTTATTAGCAGAGGAATGTTTTTGTGTTAAGCCACTTAATGCTTAGATGTGAATCATTCAAATATCACCTAACCAGGGTCGTCAGTCTACACATAACAGACAACTTAGCAAAGAAACAATTTTAAATTGCGTCCCTGGTACTTTGGTGTTAGCAGTCTGTTGCAAAAACACATAAATTGTTCCCATTTCCTTACTCAAATTTATGAGTGTTAGGGTTAGAGGTGGTAGGGCTAAAAAAGCTCTCAGCAGATGAAAAGAATCTGAAAGTCATGTGCTTAACAAATAGGAAAAAATCCAGTAAAAACCGGACACAAGACCTGAAAGATGAATCTGGCCTATCAGTTGGTCCATCTACTGTTCAGCGAAGCCTAATTCTGAAGAAAGGGAAACAGGGGGAAAGGCGTACGACAAAAGACACAAGTAATGGACTGAAATTCAGTGGTAACAGGTCTTATGGAGAGTAGAGCAGGACGATATGAAAAATATTTATCACGATATACATTTGAAAATTTGCGATAACGATATAACTGATGATATAATTGACACCAGACAAAATGCTTTACAACTCCACAACTTTATTAGTGCAAAAAAACATCAATGTATTTTCACTTAAACAAGCAGCTGTTTTTTATGTGTATTAAAGTTATATAAAAATGTAACAGTGCAAATTGACAGTTTAACCAAAAGGCATTTCCAGTGGAAACTGGCCGACATATCCTCAGCATAACCATGTATAATATCCACAAAACTTAAAAACTTAAAACGTATCACTCCGCGAGGCGCCTGCCTAATATAGCTGTAATGCTCCAACAATCCATCAAGCGGTGCGGGTTCGTAGCTTAGCAAAGTCATACTGAAACATTTGACAGATTTTCAAGCGCCGTGTACATAAAACCGTTTCGAGGTCAGTAAACACAACCAGAATTCATACATAAGGCACACGGGATTATAAGGAGCACTGTCGATTTTCAGAAAAATCAAAGGATTGAGTTTAAGTGTGCCGTACTTTCCAAACAACGCGGTAATAACGACGGCCCGCTAGCATGCTCTACCAAAAATAGTGCTTTGTTGTGTATGTGACGGACGAAAGCTAAACCAGTTCCACACCACTGAAGTTGCAGCATTTTTACAAACCAATTCTGGTTTCATTCAACGATCCGCTTTCGCTCTTCTCATGTGCGCATGTAAACATAGGCGCTGCACATGCGCGTTTTACCCATATTCTATCGCGATATTTCATTTTTCTATCGTTGCCCAAAATCACGCCGGTATTACCGTGAACGGTATGATATGGCCCAGCCCTAACAGTCAGTGTGTGCAGGCCTGTGTAAAACACAGTGGAGGCTCTGTGATGGATTGTGGCTGCATTTCTGCTTCAGAATTTAACCCACCATGCAGTAACATCTGTAAAACATCAGATTGCTTCATTTTTCAGCGTGACAATGATCCCAAACACACTTTTAATGCAGTAAAAGCAAACCTAGATCAGTCGTGGATTGGCCTCCCCTGACCGTGGACCTCAACATTATTGAAGCAGTGTGGGTTCATCTTAATAGAAAACGGAACAAAAGGCAATTCAATTCAATTCAATTTTATTTATATAGCGCCAAATCACAACAAAAGTCGCCTCAAGGCAGAGACATCTAAAGAAGAGCTTTAAATGTTGGAGGTTTTTCCAAATGTGAGCTGATTTAAGCCCATTCACAGGTGCCAGACTAAGATTTTGGCTGAACAGCCTTCAAGTTAGCTTGAAACTAATGTTGACATCAGACTGTGTTTTTAAAAACAGCAAATACAAGTCAGCATGTGTTTACTGGTCAAAGCTAAAGAAAAAATGTCAGATTTTTAGACATTTTTAGATCGCAGGATCTCTTTGCTGTGTACAGAATACTGATGCTTTCTCTTCCTCTTTTTCTCTCTTCACAGTGTGTTGTTTCGTGGTTCACAAACGTTGCCATGAGTTCGTCACTTTCTCCTGCCCAGGTGCTGATAAAGGGCCCGCGTCAGACGTGAGTACAAATAAACGAATCATTTTAAACTGTGTGAGAGCAAGAGCATCCACAAGTAAGTGAAAGACACGTGGAAAGCGAGAGACACAGAGAGCACGTCGACATTTCCATTCATGAGCCCCCGTCACCTGTCGGCGCCGGTGTTACGCTTGAGCAGCCTCCATCTTTTTCTCGCTTCTCACTCTCCTTTTCCTGTCTTGACAGTTCAACCGTAACCTCCAGGAGTTTCTCTAGTAATTACATTTAAGTAAGTACAGAAGAAGTGATACCATAAAAGCCAGAAAAGACATGTAACACCTGGAGCTGCCAAATATAACCGCTGTATTACAGTAATTGCTCTTCATCACGCTACACGAAGAAAATGACGGCCTTATATTTAACCACATGGACCCAAAGTAGTGTTCTCTAACTGCTGCCTATGTTCACCTATGCTTTTTTTCTTCCTCTTAGAGGTTTTATATTATAAAAAACTGAAGCTCAGAGGTTCCCTTGATCTCTTTTTAGTATCTTTGAAGTTTGAAAACACCCCTCCTTGCTGGTTGAGTGTTTCTGTGGTGTTATCTGTACGAGCCACAGGTTGCAGTTCGCATTCTTTGACATGAATTCAAAGAGTATTGTCGGAGGTTAAAAGCTGTGCCACTCTCGTATTATTATTAATTCTCTTTAAACGTTCTCTTCACCTTCTTATCCGCTCTAACAACATGAAGTGCCGTTAAGTGGTATGCTGCTCTGTCAAGGAGCTGACGAGTTGTCTTTTCTCTGATTCATATTCTTAAAATGCAAATCTAGTCTCCAACCGATCCTCCCGAAGGAACAAGACGTTTGCCTTCTTTTTCTCTGTCTCTCATAAGAGCGCTCTTAGGGTGCCGTTTTTATCCTCACCGAAGCCCCTCCCTACGTTCCTCAGCCACGTCTTTACCTGCCTCTGGAGTGCCCTTTCAGCCTGACGAGCGCACTTAGCGTGCCGCCTTCAGAGGAAACGCTGTTTGGCTTCCTGTAGCGTGCTCTGTATAACTGATAATTCTCCGCAATGAATAAGAGGTTAATCTTTTTATCATTTACCCATCCTGCCTCTCCTTCTCACAGCAGTGCCACAAATAGTTGATGTTTTTATAGCTTCCTTAACAGGCTGCACCTTAAATGCCAAGCTGGACGCCAAAATTTGTAAAACTTTGCCCATGTTTTGTGTCGACCGACACTGATACAATTCTTTCTTTTGACCTTAAAAATCCATTCAGATTTCCTGTAAACTGCCAGTTTAGGCAGACGACTGAACTTTTTATTCTTTAGGAATCTTTCATTTGTCTTATATTCATGCAGCTGCTGCATTGTGGACATCATAGCCTTTTTATTTTACTGTTATCCTGCTGATAAACTAATGTCTCTTTTTATGATAATAACTTGATTTTGTGTACATGTTTTTCAAACTACTTCCCCTCCTCTCGGTCTTCTCTTTCCTCTTGAGTTTTCAAAAGCCATTTTCTTCATTAGCAACTTCAAATGTCATTCCATATCTCTATAATCTCCTCTCTATTTTCTCTAGATGTCCCCTTAGCTTTACTGGCACTTATCTATATATTTCTATATTTGGTGCACATGCAACTCTCCCATGTCTTTATCTGTCTCCCATTGTTTCCCACACCACCATACCAAACTCTGTCCTCTATTTAAATGCCACTCCACCCAGGGGGCCACTGCTCTTAATTACGGGGCCTCGCCTTCCCCACTATGTCATCTCTTTAATGAGTTCATGGCCTTACGACCTTGGTTGCAGCACAGTGGGAATGCAGGGTAGATCTTCTCCTAACTAGCTGCTCATTTAAATATAGAAGACAGGAAGGCAAGAAGCCTGACGATTACAAGAAAGGAGGGTGATGAGGCCTCTTACGGCACTCACTCACAGACCTGTTTTTCTTGAAATTGGCATTTTGTAGCATACTTATTTGAGGCTAACAGAAGTGCCCAGATTTTTTTAAATTAACATTTTAATAACCATGTCAGATGTGACACAGTGTCTTCACCTGTACACACACACACAGATACTGCCTTTGTGAGCTGACACGGAGAGGAGAGCTTACTATTCCAGTTATTTTCAGATCACTCAGTCGAAATGTTCCAATATTTTTGCACTATATTAGCAAATAGAGTATATCTAAATATCACATATAGATAAATATACATCAGATATGAAAGACGTGCTCTGGCTGAGCGTGTCTTTTGACTAGAAAATCTCAGTGTTCTATGGGAACACCAATTTTTTAGAAAGATTGTACGATCAGAAATATTGCATCATTCTCTGCGGCGATCAGCCCATCGCTCCCTTTTTACCTTCTGCCTCTCTCTATGTCTCTCTCTCATCCTCTCTGTCAGCTGCGCATGTTTATTAAAAGACAAATTCAATTATAGATCTGGGTTAATAGAATGGGCTCCCCGTGGGAGAAGTCGAGGGATGAGCTTCTCTAATGAAACCTACATTTCAGGCACGCACCCTTACGAAGGTGTTGTGTGTGTGTGTGTGTGTGTGTGTGTGTGTGTGTGTGTGTGTGTGTGTGTGTGTGTGTGTGTGTGTGTGTGTGTGTGTGTGTGTGTGTGTGTGTGTGTGTGTGTGTGTTTGAGAAGCCGGTTGCATAAGAATAGCACCGCTTCAAAATAGCTTTACAAATTTGCAAGACAAGTAGACGGTTAACTCTGTGTGTGTTTGTTTGTTTTGTGGAATTTCCGTACTTCCTGTGATTTATTTGATGTGATGTATGTTTTCCATCCAAAAATATTAACTGCCTCTGTTACCAAAAAGTGGATTCTTATATGATAAAATGCAATGGAAGTTATGTGTAGGGGGAAAAATGTAAAAAAGGTCCAATTACATTATGTGAAACTAGGCAGCGTAGAAGGACGTGGAAGTAGCTCAGTAAATTTGATCATGGCGTTATCATATATCAACAGATTTTAAAAGAAATAATAGAAGCTAGTTCAGGTTAGTCATCTAATTTTGTCAGAGAAGATGAGTAGATGAAGTCCTTTTTTTTTCTCCAGAGTTAAATTAAGTTTATTTTGCATAATTTGCTCATTTGCTTTTTCCTCAAAAGCTGTTTGACTGGAGTCAGAATGTAGCATAAACACACCAAAGAGGTAAAGCTTTAGCTTCATCTGACTGACATACACTCTGAATATGTGAATTATTAGTTTTTATTAGTTTGAATTTTTAGAAACAACAAAATAAGCATTTTTGTTAAACTTCAAGGCTTTTTAAAATAATCTTGTTTCTTTGTTTCCAGTCTTTTTCTTATGCTAACATGCTGCTGGCTTCAGTTTTAGATTCTCACTTTGTTAAATTATTACCTTTTCTACCTTTTTCTGATGTTTTTTTTTTTTTGCAGACACTCCTATACAACAAGTGCACATGCACCAATAGCATGCATTTATACATGGTCATTCTCATTTCTGCACATAAACAATATAAATATGATTTCAACATGATGATATATTTATCAGTATGTCTGCACGGGTTGTTAAAAAGACGTCAAAGCTGTGAAGTAGCCTTTGAGAGGCAAAGAGAAAGGTTGATGGAGAGATTGTTGTTAAATACGTAGCACGGCCGACTCCGTCCCCTGTCTCGTTATTGCGCTGTCTTTCTTTCAAGGCCCTTCTCCCAAGCTCGCTTGAGAGATCTATTTTGCTCAAATCCTTTAAATAATATTTCACACGCTTTCACTTACATGTTTCCCAGAGGAAGGGTTATAAGCCTGAGTCAGGTAAACACTTGGCACAGCGTTTCTTTTATTGATCAGGGCAGCAAAAGCAGCTGTTGCAGCCTGCGTTATATTACATTTTACTTTTTCGGAGGAAAGTTTACAGCCTCTTATTGAATCGGAGTGGGTGGCTACAAAAGAATGTTTGCTGGTTAACTTTCACAGCCTTTGGGGAAGTACACATAGTTTTTCAATAACAGCAATGTGAGTCATACTAACTGAAGTTTTTCTAGATTTAAAAAGTTAATCTGTGTATTTATTACTTTGTTTTATGTGACGATGCAAGCTAAAATAAGTGCGCCTCTTAAAATAAAGGCAGATCAAACCAAACTCTGACTTACTGTTTGTTTTGTTTTCATTTTGTTTTACTTTTTTCTTTATCTTGATATTATTGTAGGATAAATAACGTGTTTTTTTATGTGAGCTTTGAGTGTGTTTCATTTTTCATGTTAATAAAACAGCTTACTCATTAACATACAGTAGATCTGCTGTAGCATATTTATGTATGTTTGCTCCGTTGCTCCTCCTTGATGCGTTCAACTGGATGAAACTTACTATATTAACTGCCTATTGCACCAGGATTATCAATGTCTGTATAGCTTTTGGTAATTATTGATCTAACACTCAGATCCTTATAAATCACATAATATATTTAGACCCCAAAACAAACAGTGACATTACGTCTACATTGCACATGTTGATGTTTGTAAATACAATCTGCTAACCAATTTTTAGTGCAGTGGTATTTTTCACTAAAATGTGACGTCGTGCATATGTGTAAACAACCGTTCATCAACACTAACACGCTAACAGTGCCTGTAATTCATAACTTTCTCTTACAACATGAATATGTAGCTCACAAAGATATATGTGTTTGTTATTCAGGCGTTTGATGTTTATAAACAGCTGTTTTTGCCATCTGACTATACACAATGATATAATGAAGATAAAAACAAGCTGACACACTTCTGTGTTTTAATGCACGAGTAAAGCAAAAACTGCATTTCTTTTTGGGAAGAAAATTAAGTTTTTCAGCATTTTTTTTTTTTAGTAAAAAACTATTTTTGTTTTTCAGACTTGCTTGTAGCAAAACTTTCGAATAAATAATGCCTAACATGAGCATGTTTATATTGGTTTCAATTAAGCTCTGTGAAAAGTAAAAGCCACAAATAACCTTCGTGGTGCCCGTCGACATGACACGCAACGGCTTCATGACAGGTTTAGTCTGTGCAGCGATTTTGCCACCGGAGCTATGTCAGAAAGTACTAGCTTGAGAGGAGTAAGTGGACTGAAGGCAAAATCAGCACTGAAAAATAAAAAGTTTTCGTGTGAGTGACTGTGAGCACCGATCTGCCTGTCACACAGCATCATGAAAACATGACAAGATGTGTATGTAATTGTTGTGAGCTGACTGATGCTAATGCCAGGGAATTTAACAGACAGCAGAGTTTTAAAAAACAAAAGAAGAGCAGCGAGTGAGAGACAACACAGTGACAGGAAGGTGGTCAAAACAGCGCACTGAGCATGGACTAATGGCTAGTCACTGGCTGATTTTATGAGCAGGTTTTCAGTTTACATGCTAAAAAAAATCAAATTTGTTAAATCTGCTTTGAATAACTTCTTTTTGGGTGAAATTTGGCAACACTGTAGAGAAGATAACAGGTGTCAAAGCATATCTATGGTAACACACAAAAACAAATATATCAGCATAAAACTGGTGACAAGACTTTTCCCCCAGTGGCTCCATGGCATGAAGGAATATCAGGGCCAGATCAAGAAAATATTGTTCATTTTTGAGAATAACGTCAAAATGTGGAGATCAAAGTTGTCATTTCTTGTCAGACAACTGTCACGGCTGCTGTCCCCTCTACAAAACGCCTTGTTTAGATGAGGTAGTGAACTCGTGCTTGAGAATTGGTTTTAGTAGCAAGGAAATGATTTCTCCTTTAGCACATACACATCGTGGTGATAAGTATTAACACGTTAAAGAGATGGTGTAGAAAGTTGCATCTGGTCAGAAGGAAAAAAACACAGAAACTTGGAGAAGTTGGCAGTGGACAGCTGCAAGGATAGTGATGTTTACACCCTCGTGCAGTAAAGAGGATGTATGGTGTACCACAAGAAGATACCTGATCAAGTTGTTTGTAGAGGGTAGAGCAGCCGTGGCAGTTTTTTGGTTTTTCAGGATCTTTAATATCCACGTTTCAACTTTATTCTCAAAAAGAACAATAATATATATATTTTAATGTGGCCTTAGTACGCCGTCATAGCACAGTGGAGACATTTTCATGAAAAAGATCCCCTCTTTAAGTCTGGGAGGAGGCAAAAATCCCCTGGGAGGGGTTGTGTCAGAAAAGACTTCTGAGGTAAAGATCTGCCAACTCAAATATGCAGAGGCGTCCACTGTGGCGACTCCTTGTAAATAAGAGAGCGGCCAAAAGAAGCTTTAGTTTAGTGTAGATACTTTTTTTTCCCAGCATGCCCTCTCAGACACTGGGCCTGTTTGAACAGGTTAATTTCAGTACCGAGGTCGAGTTATTTATCAGCTATCAGTTATTAAAGTTGAGGACCTCTGGAAGACCTTTACAATTTCAGTAAAATGGTGGTAGAAGGACGGCAAAAAGAATGTGGTAAAATATTTTCCATCTCATAATAATAAAACAGGTTTGGCTATTTGAAGGTATAAACAGAATGTCCTGGCTCTGTTTGAAGGTAACAAAATCTCCTTAATGTTATGCTAAGGCTTACTAATCAAAATTGGTTATTTTATATTGAAATTATGACATGAATATACAACTCTAATGTCATTTTGACAGAGGAAGCCTCACATGCTGCTTGGTCTCTGTACCTAAACTGAGAAACTGGAGCCAGTGAAGCTGTGGCTGGATGCTATTAAATATATATACATATATACACAAATATTAGTCCAAACACTGAAATATTCCAATTCTGATCCTTTCACACTCAAATCTAAAAGTGTTAAACACAAAAGTTGGCAGAACATCCTAACACAGTCACGTAAACCTTCCATTTTAGGATGATATATTAAGCTGATTGTTGTTAAGCTGTGATTCAAACTTACATTTCTTTGTTTTACTTTACTTTAGTTTACTGTTCACTAAGTGGAAACATTAAATCAAGAAGACCTACCGGTGTTTTTCACAGCTTGTTTTGACTCATGAAATTAACATCATCCTTGAAAACACCGTCATATTGAAGCAACCTTATAGATCACAATGTCCACGTCCTGTAGGGAGGAGGTCAGGGTGGATGGAAGGGTTAAAGAACTTAACTTATTTTTATTCATATATTGACTTCTGTGAGAAAAATGACAGAAAAGGTATTTTTTAAAAATCTGTTTAAACTGATTTTACATCAAAATAAAGTTCATCAAAGAAGGGGGAGACAATAAAAGTGGTGTCTTTTTTCTCCTAGTCACTGCTTTCATGCGTTCTTCTTAATGATTTTTCTTTCTCATTGATGTTTGAGTTTTCGCTGCGGATGCATTTAATCATTCATATTTATAAAGAAGCTGGCACTCTTTGTAATCAGCCCTCACACTGCTCTCTGTCTGCTGCTGCTCATCACTGGAGCTTCAGCAGCACAATGTTCCCTTGTTTTTATGCGGCACAAAAAAGAAACAGTAGGTGGTATTGTCCTCGAGAAAGGCGAAAAACAGCATTTGAAACAAATACACAAAGTAGCGCGTGGAAATGTACACGGAAATCACAGGCATCCACACATTCAGGCTTAGGGCAACACTGCTGAAGACACTGTGGGGACACTGGGTATAATTGACTGGTCACCTAAATTTAATGTTATTTCCAGGACAGGTGTGGAAGAGAGGAAGGCATCAATCATTCTAATTTTTTCTTGGCTCATGAGATTAAAAGGCACGAAGGCACGTGTGAAAGAAAACTGGCACTCGTGGTCTCCTTCTAAATTGGCTTTAAAGGAAAATTAACAGTAAGCACTGGTCTATTTGATGTCATCAAAGCACTTTGCGCTGGAGGAGATCCCTCACAAATCATATTAAATTCTGTATCTGCATGTTTGCTAGCTGCGATGGATCCCCTTGGCAGAAATATTTTAACTCCCACATTGAAGTACGCCCGCTTCGCTGCACAGTTTGGATCCTCCACAAGCGGTATATCGGATGTGCACGGCCTAGGAGTTAATGTGTGTGTGTGTGTGCGTGTGCGTGCGTGCGTGCGTGTGTGTGTGTGTGTGTGTGTGTGTGTGTGTGTGTGTGTGATCCAGGTGTGGTTGCAGGTGTCACACACATTAGGCAGAAATAGCCGTGTTTCCGCCCCAGTTATGATTCAGTTCTGAACGTCCATAAAAAGTAATGGCATCCATTTTTTTGTCAGTTCAAAGCACATAATTACTGTCAAAAGGACAAAATGACCAAATTGCAGATAAGTGACAGTTTTTCCCTTTTTTTAGCCTGGGTGCAGATGCCAGCAAACTCAATAAACTGATCCGGAGGGCCAGTAATGTTGCGGGGATGGAACTGGACTCTGTTAAGGTGGAGACGGAGAGGCGGATGTTGTCCAAGATAAGGACAATGCTCCATGACGTGCTGTCCAGTCACAGGAGAACGTTCAGTGCACACACTTAATATCACGTACAGTCTGAGAAGAGAGGCGTTTTCATTTCAACCATTTACATTTGTGTTATATCCTGGGATATTTATAGTTGAGCAATCTGTATATTTTATTTTGCTATATTTTGTAACTTTGTAATATATTGTAACATTTAATTTAGTTTATTCAGCTACTGTTCTTATGGTCTTGTAGCAACTGTGACCATGTGACTATAAATTATTCTGATTCTGTTATTGATGCTCTTACATCATCGGAGCCACACCCAGATCTGTGTGCTTGACTTACCTGTGTGGTTAGGTCATCAATCTGTTTACACACTTAGACACGTTTTTGTGTAATGTCCTTTGAAGTAACACTAACCCAACACAACTGTGCGCAGCAGACCTGCACAGACAGCAAGTAGCCGTAGCCGTACGCTGTCTCTGCTATTCATTCGACTTTAACAGATGTCACGGGAGGCTGACTTCATGCAAACTTTTTGCGTCACTGTTGTTGCCTACAGACACACATGGATGTGCATCCTTCGTAGCCTTTCTAAATTGATGCCAACAAAGAAATTCAGAGGAAATGTATTTTGATCAGATTACAGTGCATGTGCCCGTATGTAAACCCCGCCTGTCAAAACTTTCCCCTGAATGCACCATTACCATTCAGAGCAGTGGAAAGTGGAAAGTCAGAGAGAGAGACTAAGATGAATGCTGGTGATAAAAGGAGAATATCAAACAGATGGAGGAGGAGAGGAACAGGCAAAGCTTCATTCATTCAGTTTTTTTGTTTGTTTGTTTTTAAGCGGTTGAACGGTGCACAGTTAAACAGCTGAACAACACAATCATTAAAGAAATGTTTAATTTGTAGTGAAAAAGTCTTTAATTCTCTGTTTTTGTCCTTTGCTCTTCAGGACCCGAGGTCAAAGCACAAGTTTAAGATCCACACCTACTCCAGCCCCACCTTCTGTGACCACTGTGGCTCCCTACTCTATGGCCTCATACACCAGGGAATGAGATGTGACCGTATGTAGTACACCCGCTGCCCATTTATGCATGTATCACATACTGCAGCCTTACGATTGTACCATCCATATTTAGATTGTACAGTATTTAGGTGGTATGCTCACACAGAGGGATGTACAATTAGGTAGAACATTATTCATACCTTAATGTTATTAAAGGGGAGGGATGGTGACTATATTGGGAAAAGGTGCTGGATATGTAGGCAGGAAGAAAAGAGGAAGACCACAAAGAAACTTCATGGATGTAGTGAAGGAGGACATGCAGTAGTATGTAATCATTTTATGGCACACATATCACTATGAATAATACTCTTGCATAACATTACAAACCTATCTGTGGGTGTGTGTGAATATGTATTTTTCAGACTGTATGATGAACATCCATAAGCGATGTGTGGCCAACGTGCCGAGCCTGTGTGGCACAGACCACACTGAGAGGAGAGGTCGCATCCAGATCACCGCCGAGGTTAAGACCAATGTTCTCACTGTTACCAGTAAGTATATTCCAGAAGCATACACACGTTTACAGCCTACACACACCTGTGCAGTCCTCCGGCTCGCTTGTCATTTTAAAGTTTGAGAATACCGGTCTTCTGTCTCCCTCTGCTGTTGGCAAAGATGAAGGATGGAACTGAAATATGAGCTCACGCTTAGAAATCACTCTCGTTTGGTCTGCATTCATTTCCACTTTCATTAGAGGAAAGTGCCACACACTTTGGTCTGTAATAATGTAATAATTTATTCAGATACACCGATGTTTCCTCTGTGAAAGGAAAATGAGCCTGGAGTACAGTCAGTGTGTATCTTTGAAAACTAACACAATATACTTAATAGAAGCAGGTTTGCTTCAATCAGACTATGTATAAAAATAGTTTGTGGAATAAAATTTTGGAAGCCTCAATTTTAGGACTACGGCCATCTTGGATTTTTGGATCCGCACGTGACCACATTTGGACGAGTTATCGGCTAATGCCCACAGGCTCGGTTAGCAAATTGCAGACATGGACTGTGTGAATGCCTCACACAGACACACATTCTTGTAAATGAGTGCTCAGTGACACGCTAATAAAATACTAGAATTTCAATCACCATAACTGGGTTACACACTTATGATATTTGCTCTCTTATTGCCGAGGAGTTGCCACAGCTGATGGATCTGCATGTTTGATGACGTCTTTTATTCCACGCACAGTTGGTGTGGAGCACCCACAATTTCGTTGTATGTGCGGTGAAACTAAAAGGCTATTCTCTTCCATTCTAATTGAATATTTTAAGAAATCATCTTTCGTTCAGTTGTTGAAATATACAGACCAAAAGCTTTATTTGAACCTGGCTGCAAACATGTTTATTTCAGATCTAGAGTTGGACTTTTTTTTCAAAGCCTATCCTGTCAGCTCAGAATTGTGATCTGAACACACGTTTTGCTTTTCCAAGATGATCTTTACAGGTTCTGTTTGGTTATTTATTAACCATTTAAAGTGCTTTATTTATATTTATTACCATTATAATGACGCTATGTCCAAGTAGCCCCACTGCAGTTACTGGTATTATTTCTGGGCAGACTGAGGTGTGACTGAACATGAAATCATTTACCATTCTCGACTCAGCTAGTGAGAACACGGCCTCATTTCTGTGAAGTGTCATCCCCAGGTCCAAAACTCACGAGATGCTGTCAGTGATTAAAAAGGTCATTTGGCAACTCTATCAGATGCTGGACTCTAGTGCTTAACCACACCACAACCTAGAAAACTATTAGAGTGATGCAATATTAGGGATGATGATAACAACTGCAATCTCCCTGCTCTCGTGGTCATTTGGCATCAAGTCATCAATCTGGTGTTAGAATAAAGGAAAAAACGGATTCATTAATTGTTAATTAATTCCGTTTTTTACGTTACAGTTGTTACATTTTCAGTTTCAGATTGCAGTGTGTCGCATATCAGTACGTTAATAGTCTCACTTTTCATTGATATCATGGCTGTTTAGCTTTCCTCCATCAGCTGACTTAATTTATGTGTCCCCTATGAAGTCGCTTCATGCACTGAGCCGTCCTTCACGCTGTGATTTAACCAGTGCATTCAGGCAAAGCTAGCTCTCTCTCTGGGTTAAATATATTGAAACGATGATGGGATACACTGGGTAAGCAAGTTGAGTCAATTCCAGTGTGTTGTGGACTGTGTCTCCATTTGTTCTTCGGTTTGTCTGATTTTTTTATTTGCCTGCCAGATGTTACGCGTACCACTGACATTTGCACAGTAGTGAAAAATGTTTGTGAAACCATGTTTATGTATTTGGCAGTCAGAAATTTCACCTGCTTCGCTCGGTCATGTCTGGCAGCCAAAGAATAAATAAAAAAGCAGGGTGCTGCTCAGAGAAATCACTATCTGCCAAGCTTTCAAAAATATGAAATATTAATTATTAATAAATTCATCTGGTTAAACTGTTTTTTTCTCAACAACTCAGAGGAATGTTTTATTTGTGAAATATAAGTTATTAAAAACTACAAAAATCTTTACTGTAAATTAAGTGATGGCTCTCATTTCGTGCACATATAAAAATGGTTATCGTGGCAAATGTTAGTATGCATGTCAGTACAATATGTAGACATTCATGTTGTATCATTTAAGCAAGTGTTGTTTCAAAGAGATATACTATTCACTACACTGTGTGCTCACATCATTCTTGGAACAATGTTTCTGTCTATTTAACTGAAAAAAAATTGGAAAAGTGGAGAGAAACGTCGTTACATTGATCCGCAGTGCCTTTTATGACCTGCAGGTGGCTGCAGAGATTTACATTAACGTTTTTCATTACCCTGATAATCACAGCTTTGCCTCAAACGAAAAAATAACTTTATTGAGGATCCGTACTCCAGCTGTGTGATGTGAGTTCCTAAACACGGCTGCATAAACCTGCTCCAGCTTCAGATGTGTCACAGTTCATACTCGAGCAGCAGGTGACGTAGTGATAATTAATGTGCATTTTTCTTCCCTTTTTTTGTCCTTGTCTTTTCATCTAAACTTCAGCATATGAATAAGCATCTCGTAAGATATCCTATCTCAAATCTTAAGCCATAAAACTCCTGTTGTTTCCTAAGCCATGCCGAGTCTTCAGTTCGCTTCATCTCTTATTTTTTGTTGTTCCTCCAGCTCTGTAAAAGCAAAGAGTTTGTAAAGTAGTTTTTGGCAGTGCATCTCCTTACAAAGCATAAATAAATGGTGGCTGACTTCTTCCTGATCTACAAATGTATCCAGGCATTTTGCTGCAGTTATTGATTGGACCCATGAAAACAAACAGTGTCCTCACTAAATATTGCATAAATGTTAGCGAGAACTTGTAACAGCACATTCATAGGCCTGTTATTTTTGCATGTAGGATATTTTCCCTTTATTGGCTCTTGCTGGGTTTAATTCCTCTGCAGATTCCCCTCCTCTGTTCTCTTTTTCAGATTCCCACGCTCGTAGACTGATCATTAAGTGGTGGTTACTCTGGGAAATGATAAGAGAGCAGACTTATCACATGCAGACTGCTAAGACAGCAGAAAAGGCTAAAAATTCACTGGTGCTGCAAACCAGAGCAGATGATAGTTGAGCTAGATGGTAGAAAATGTCAAAGTACATTAACTAAAGCTATTTACCATGAAGTTTAGTCTCATCTATATTTCGGTCTTTCACATACACTGATTTTTATGTTAATGTGCATATAACTTGTGGTTGTGTTTTGCAGATTATAGTAAAAGGAGGATTTGGAGGAGTAGTGCTCGCTTTTGTCCACAGGGGTCAGTGTGGAGCTATGATTGGCGTATACCCTCTATGCAGTGAGGTAGAGGTGGGGGGAAATGCCACCACTGAGAATGAATTGCAGAACCACTAGGAATTATTTTACAGCTTAATGTAGCGGGATCTGGTGAAAACAGCTGCTACGCTGAGAAGTGCAATTGGGTTGTGGATTTAATCAAAGCAATTGACATTGGCGTAAAGTGACACTTTAATAATCAATTTTAATTCACCTACGGCCTCTTTCATAGTCAGATTAGAGCTCAGGTCACTGGCAGTACAGTGCACATGGAGATGGGGGGGGGGGCGTCAGCCTCCAGCAGGGAGAATTCAGTGGGACACTAAAAGGTGCCCTCTGTCTTTGGTACTCCACCCAAGCTGCCTAATAGTGAGGTAGGGGATCATTTACCTGTTTTATACAGCCTGTTGTGTGTCTCTAGCTGTTCTGAAAGGTGGGATGTATTGGTATATAACTACAAAGACTGAGGAGAACTGCAATAAAGTTTAAACCCTTTCCAGCTCCTCTCCAATCAGTGCATAGCTGGCCAGTTGTTTAGTGAAATGGCCTTCTAACTGATCAGGAGCTGGGAATAAAAACTTGATGCAACACAAACAAGGAATGTTGCAGCATTTACATTAGACGCTTTTACTAAAGTCTAATTTAAATCAGAGAATGAAAAGGGGAGGTGTGGGTTCTGTCCAGATATTCCAGCTTCCTCCTACAGTCCGAAGACATTTTATGTCAATTGGTGAGACTAAACTGGCTGTAGGTGTGTGAATGTGGGCTTAAATAGTTGTCTGTCTCTCTGCATTAGACCTGACATAGGATGTGACCCACCTTTTGCTAACCCTAACCCTGTCCACAACCAAGAACTGGATGAGCAATTAAGAAAACAGATGAATGAATAGACATATAGGTGTAGATCACAGGAGCAGGAGGGGGGTGCAAAGGAAGTAGGCTTGTCCCAAAACATGACCATGTTTTTGATTTTTGTTTTTAAAAATAGTCATTATTCTGAAACTGAACCAGGGACAGATGGATAGCTGCAAGCATGTACGGTATATTGCATAATTCATTAGCTGAAAAGCAGCAGCCAATCAAGAGCAGAGAGAAAACGTGGGTCAGGTGACACTGCAGGCATTTGGAAGTACAGGTGGGAGTAGCAATGCCTGTCTGGGAAAACCACAGAGCCACAGCACATTATTTCCTGCTTTGTGAGGCTCAGATAAGATGTTAAATATCTAGACTCTTCAGACTTTGGGTTATTATTGTTGTCATCTGTTCAGGCATCCCAGACTGAACACTGTCAACATCCACCGGATGACATTCTCAGAAAAGCTTTTGCAAGCAAGAAGAAGGTGGATATAACCCAGTAATCCTACTTACCATCCTATGAAGCTGCTTCACAGGGGAAAAGGGGCACAGCCAACACCCACGCAGCACTTCACATGTAGTATTCTGCTGTAACTGCACTCTTATCACCTCTGCCTGCCCCTCACACACAAACACAGACCCGTACATGTGCCTTTCAGTTAGCACACACTGGATGCAAGCAAGAATTTCTCACCTGTGCATACACAAACAGGTCCATTCACTTCTATAAAAACTGCACGTCTTTACTGTAAGTGTCCTTTGAGACTCTTTGGCATGCTACCCTCTTTACAGCTCTCCTCCTCGACCTGCATTTGATGGTCACTTTAACGGGCATCATCTAATATTTATTGAGCTGCTTCACTGAGGGCTTAATGCTGGCCAATGGCTGTGTGCTGTGGTTAACCTCCTGGAGTTTAGTGTAGAGTAATGGTTAAAGAGCATGAAGACTTCATCTCTCTGACATCTTTGAGGTTTTTCTCACACTGTGAGTTCACTGGCAAGCTGCTCTAGTTTCTCCTCTGGCTATGCTGCACGTCCCCCAAAGGATTATTGAGTAACAGTGTGCAACACTTTTTGTCAGTATGCAAACAGACCTTTCACCAAATTTAGCTAAAATAAGTCGCAGTGCGTGCTACTTTTTCTCTCGCCCTCCACTCGTTAAATAGCACAAATTCTTCTGTGCTGCACTGGGAGATCAAAGCCGCTACTGAGTCTACTAAAATTCACACGCTCAACCCAGATTGCAATAAATGTTTGGCTTAAAAGTGGCAAAGTTATGCACTTCTTTTATGGGCCACATTTGTCTTTGCCCAGGGTGAATCTGGCTGCCTCAGCTCAGCCAGAGGTCCAACTTATAAAAGGCCAGATATGAGATGTGTTGTGACATTTGAGCCACATCTGGCTCATCCTACATCTGCTGGTGCAACAACTGTGCTGTAAGTGAATAAAATAGGCAAAATTAGTATGTCTCCTATCTGGGTAAAGACCCATTGCCAGAAAATGGCAATATAAGATGTACATGTAGTCCTTTAAATGCACCTTTATAGTAGGGCTGTGCACTATGGCAAAAATCTCATATCCCGATATAAGACATTTATCGTCCTGACAACAATATAAATCACAAAAATGTAACATTTTCTGTAAATTCAGTGAATCTCGGGCAACTTGACTTGTGTGAAGTTTTTCCAGCTGGGCGTCATGTACCTGGAGTCGAGTGTTTTAACCGATGCATGAAACTATACATTTAGACATAAGTTGTAACGGTCACCAGTTTCTTTCAAAGTTTGAGTCTAAGTTTTATTTTTTAGCACCTGATGGCTCCTTTTTTTCTTCTCATCCGTAAACTCTCTGCATACTCTTTCACTTGATTCAGTTTATTTTGAAAAGTCTCAACAGGATCTTGAGCTTTATTGTGAAAGGTTTATGTGGAAAACAAACAAGCGGACATCGGAGCCACGCGATGGTTTTACCGTCATTGTTGCTAAGGACAACACGTAAAAACAGGCTTGTCGTCCATAGTGTGGTTATTAGGGGTGGGTTTTTATAATCGATTTATCGATTAAAATCGATTCTGGCTTGGATAACGTGAAATCGATTCATTAAAATCTTGAATCGATTCATTAAAATCTTGAATCGATTTTTTAATATAAATTTATTTTTCCCGAAATGCCAGAATCTCAGGTGAAACCTCACAAAATTTCAAGAACCACCAAACAGCTAAAACAGTAAATGAGAGCAGGAACACTGATTCTGCACAAAGACTTAAATACACAGCGGGACCCGCGGATCAGAATCAGTGAGATGTCACCTTTCTCACCGACGGCACGGACACAGTCGGGGCTGAAAGCCGACAGCTCGCAGATTCTGATCTGTCGGCAGGTCCGTGCTTTGTATTTACGCCCTTTTTGCACTGATTCTAAAGCTGTTAGTTTGATCTCTCTCCAAACAATATTGACCGAACCAGCAGCAAAAGAAGATCCAAACCAAACTTCACATAAACATCGTCATGGACTCGCTCCGACTTTTGCTGTTTTGCTTCCACCACAATAAAATCACACATCATGCACAGCTCTCTCTCTCTCTCTCTCTCTCTGTACTTTAAGAACAGTTTCCCGTCTAAAAATCTGTTTTCTGCATTATTCGCTTGCTTGTTACGCACAAGTCTACCGTTGTTTACAGCGCACTCGGCCGCTGTTTGTTTCCTTTTACTTACTTCCGAAAAGAAAACCTAATTTCTGCCGTTCAATACTGAACAAATTTAAACTTTTTAAAATTATGCAAAATGCAAAACGCTCAGCTGTGTCTCTAATAAAACCGCTGTAACATCAGAGGTAATGTTCATAAGTTGATTAATGGTTTTCTTTCGTTTTTGATGTACTGCAGAATATTTTTATAAAATCCCAGGCCAGGAAAATCACCTTCATGTTTTTCTGTGTTTTATCTTCAGCTACTTTGACACAAAGGCATCTGCTGTGATGCTTACACCTTTGATAAAGTCTTGCGTGTGTCAGCTTCCTTTTTATAGATACAAAAATATGTAAATGTACTGATCCGAATAATAATATTTCTGACTGTCAAAATTTCCCAGATTCAAATCGAATCGAATTGAATCGTGGATCGAATCGATTCTAGAAATCAGTGACGATACCCAGCCCTAGTGGTTATATTAAATATAAGAGAAAGAGAGAACTTTAAGAAATTAATATAGCCACTACAGTGACCATCAAAACCATGAAAAAATATTGCTGTAAACAGTTTATTTTATGACACCAGGAAACAAACGATAGCGTAAAATGAAACGATAGACGTTTTTATATCATCATCCGATATATATCGTTATATGGAACAGCCCTACTTTATAGGTCAAAAGTCCAAAACAAATCCATACAGACAACCTGACAAAGAGCAAGGAAAAGACAGCACGATTTATACTCTCACACAACCGAGACACAACCGAGACACACAATCACAGGGGAGGAAGTAATAATGAATACAAAGCACAAGAGAAAAGGGAGTACCAAAATTAAACAGGAAGTAACCAATGCAAAGGTTAGACACAGCAGGACTTTACGATAAGGCAATCACTGGGAACAACTAGTAAAGCATAGAGTCCTGTGAGATCGATGAATGGAATGAAAGTGCTTATCTGTTTTCTTTATATTTAATTTTAACAGGATGTGATCATTTGCCCTGAAAGCAGTGTAGATGAAATATTGCACATAACACCTTAGTTTATCATGTTTTGCCAGGAGGCCCACAACCAAAATGACAGCGCTCTAACCAAACACATTTGTTTTCTGTGTGTGTTGCATGTGCAGTGACAAAGGTCTCGTGTGCTTTTGTGTGTCAACTGCTTTCCTAATGGGCTGCCTAAGACACAGCAGCCCCGCTTTTGGTAATTGGATGTGACCTCACAACTTGACCGGGAACTGTAACTGTGCGCACATGCAATTTAACCCACACTCTGACCGCAGGGGATTTTACACCACTGGAATACAATTACAGCCCAATAACAAACAGCCACATAAGAGGGATTAGTGTTGGAACTGGCAACCTTCATCGGTCTACACGGTCATTACAGACAGACTCTGTTAACCTCAAGGCTGTAGCCTCCTGTATAGTTAGGTTAAGCATGCCGAAATTTAATTTGTTGATTTCAGGGCAGAGTTTTGGTTTCCAATCTAAGGCTCTTATTTGACTGAATTGCAGTAACGAGTAGGACAAAACTGCTAAAACAAGTACGCATTCTCTGAAACACAATGTCTGGAAATAAATAAAGGTTGAAGTTGAACTGTTAACTTGGTCTAAAAGATGGAGTGACTGCAAGTTTTTTAAGGTGGCTAAACCCAACTTGGGTATGCAATATGTGAGCAACGTGTTAAGCAAAATTCCTTTAATTTTGCAAAATCATTTATTACTGATTATTTACAGGGTCAGTAATAAAAGCTACTGCTTTTGGCCTCGACTTCGTATGCTCCGTTTAAATCTGTTTGGTAATTATGACATGAATTTTATAAAAATGTCTGATGGGATTAAATGAAATGATGACCATTTATATCCAAAAAGTTGCTCTGACATTATGAGTGTTCTGCGGAAACTCCTGCCACAGTTCTGACCATATTTCACATAGTACCCACCCTGAAATGGTTGTAGAGCTTTCCTGCTGCAGGCTTGAAGACGTGTGTAAAGCACGTAGAATTTGTAGCCTGTTTGCAGCAACATCCAAATTTGTTCTGTCAAAATCTGCTTTATTGACCAAGCATGAATAATAAAGTTTCTCTTATGAACCAGCGTGGATGCAATACAACTAAAACAACCAATAGATTGGTTGGCATGGGTATTCACTGCCAGGCAGTAATTCTATTTAAAGCAATGTCAGCTCATTCATCACTTTAAAAATAAAAACAAATGCATATTTGCTTCAGCTTCACCAAGCAGGAAAATTCATACGAGGCAGCAGAAAAGTGAGTGCAGATATATGGGATTATAAATATTTGGCTAAAACCAGGTGGTGTGTCCTTAAAAGTTAGTCAAAAATTAAATTTGAATAAACATATTTGTTCTTTATTTTAAGTTTTAAGAATAGTAATAATTAAAATTATGTCTGCATTTATTTATATTCATAAATTCCCACCATTCCTAATTCAGCTCGTTTTATGAGAGTGATCATTAAAGTTATTTTAGCTACATTTAGTTACATTTATATGTAGAAATAGTTCACCTTCATATTAAAGCTGTGGTTTCTTACACGCTTGTGTATTTTCTGTCTCAGTGTTGTGCAGAGTACTTCTCCTAAAGAAAGGTTTATAAATTAAAACTTTCAATGCTGCTTTAAATTAGTGTCTATTCTCTTTTTTTCCTCCCTTCTCTCCCCTCACACATCTTGTTTCTTTTTATTTCTCCCTTCAGTCAAAGAGGCCAGGAATCTGGTTCCCATGGACCCCAACGGTCTGTCAGACCCTTATGTGAAGCTTAAACTGATCCCGGATCCCCGCAGCGAGAGTAAACAGAAGACCAAGACCATAAAGTGCTGCCTCAACCCCACCTGGAACGAGACCTTTAAATTGTAAGGCTTTATCATGCCAAGTGTGAGGCTATCTTATATATTTATCAGCCTGTCTTTCCTGTGTCCCTTTATCTCTTTTTTGTCTTCTCCTCACTCGCTCAGTGCAATGAGTTGAGACCGCGTCGCATTATGCTCATCTTTCCAAGCATGTGTAACCGCTGGCGCTCAGTTAAAAACATCTGGCGCCTCATTTTTGTAAAACCTTGCTTTTGGGGTCGTTTGCCACAGTTGGCTCCAGTGACTTACTTAATAAGGCACATTGAATTTACTGTGGAAGTGCAGATGTTCACTCTGAAATGCTATCATTTCTATCAATGTGTCTAAAAGAAAGAAAAAAGTATGCACAGAAGAAAGATGGAAAGCTTTCCTGATACCTTATCAGAGGAATGATCCCAGGAATAAATGTGGAAGATGAAAAAGAATGAATTCAACACTGCTCCCGTGTGTCTTTAAAACTCAAACCTTTGACAATAACCACACCTACAGTTATCACTCTCAGCCATCAACTGTTGTGTGTCCTTCCTTCTCTCGCAGCCACCTGAAAGAATACGATAAGGACCGCCGTCTGTCAGTGGAGATGTGGGACTGGGACCTGACCAGCCGCAATGACTTCATGGGATCACTGTCCTTTGGCATCTCGGAGCTCCAGAAACAAGGGGTGGATGGATGGTGAGATGAAAAAAAGGAGGAATAGAAGAGGGTGTAGAGAGGCATGAGGCAGAGAAACTGTGGTGGTAGAGGAGGAGGAGGGAAAGGTGACCTTGTTCATTAATGCGCTGTAGGAGAAATACTTTAGTTAGAGCTCCTCTTTTTAGTCTGATTATACTCAGCGCCAGAGCAACTCTACCCCCATCTCTTTATCTCTGCTTCTTTATCTCCACCACCCTCCCTCCCTCCTTCCTGCACTTTCTATCTGTAGCCCAGTCTCTATATCCATCTTCCTCTCTTTTGTTTTTTGCTGACGCTGCCCTGTCAGGGTTTTTAATGAGATGCCAGGTTTTGAGGTGGAATGGTGGAGGTGGAAAGATGCCATTAAAAACCTGATGTTCAGAGTGAACCTGTGCAAGTTTTCCTCTATTCCGTCTTCGAGCAGCCCTCACACTCGCTGGTGAGAGGAGATACAGAGCGCGAGTAAAGCTAAAGCTCTGTGTGAGACTGTGGTATTTGAAATAATGCTAAAACATACTTGTGTCCTAATAATAGTTTGCAGATATGTACAGTGTGAACATTACTGTGCAGAAGTCTTGAGTCACCCCTGATTTATTTATTTTTTTATTATTCTGTATCCAAGGAGACACACTTTCTTCTGATTTCCTGAAGCTCTTCTAAGGTTTTTCATTGGACATTGGCTGGTTTTTCACCCACCTTCAGTCCAGTATTTTTCTTTATTGAACTACTTAATGCTGACCTAAGAGTCATTAAAGCATAAAAAAGGCATTCATAATTAGCAAAGAGCCGTATAATAGCATCTTTAGGTGCTTTGTTACTAGCAGCCTGTCTCATAGGACAATTGTATTCCAATTTCTTTACTTGAAACTAAAAAAAGATGTCAAAGTTTGACACATAAAACAATATTTTTGCACCAACAGGGTGATTCCCAGAGTGCTATTAGCTGCAAACTTGGCACTCAGCACAGTGTGCAGTATGTCCCTAAAAAAATTTGAGGAAACTGGACAAGTAGAGGACAAAGGAAGAAGTAGCAGTCCTAAAAACTATCTACAACACATGACTATCAGCAGATGAAAGTTATGTCCTTAAGAAATAGGGAAAAAATCCAGCAGAGACCTGACACAGAGATGCAGCCTAATCCGAAGCCTAATCGGAAATGTACTAACTCTGTTTTTGTCTTATATATACATTATTTCCACATGTGATTGCACATGTTTCAATAAATTTCCCATTTTCCTAAAAAAAATATAAAGAAATGAGGGGCAGCCTGAGACTTTAGCACAGCACTGTAAATGTACACATGTAAGAATATGAGTTCATTATAGGATTCAAAGTTTTGGTGATACCTTTTATATATTGTTGGCAGTCTGAAGGAGTTAGCACAAACTCCATCAGTATGCAAACATAGTCGCTGTCATTAATAAGTGTTTATTATGAGATAAGCAACCATGACCAGCTTGTTATCATGTGTTAATTTCGGTAACAGCTCCACCTTGCTGCTTAAAGGGCAGATTTTTGCTAGTAAGTGGAGTACAGAAACCAGAAAGGTAGCTCCTGATAAACAACAGTGTCGCTTCATATCTGTTTCCCATGTCATTTTTTAACATCGATTAAAATCTTGCACAAGTGGTTCAGAGAATAGGGAACAAGCCAGTTATATTATCTACTTATGCTTCATCACTGCCAAAACAGGAAAATGAAGAACGATTTTAACAAAAAATAACTGTGGCATGAGACATAACTGCTTGAAACACAGCTCAGATCTGACAGTCTAACTGGCTGAAGAGGCATATTTCCTAACAGCAAAGAAAGTAAAGAGCAGGGATCTGTTTCCCTGCATCTATAAAGGCCAAGCACAAATGATTTGCTATTTAAAAATGTGAAAACTATATAGTATTGATTTTGTGGGACGATAAGCGTCTCCACTGTGTTTTGAGCCCATCTCAGGCTTTGTTAAAATACCATGAAGGGGAATGAATTGGTAAATAATGGCCTGATTATTCTTTAGGCCCTTAAATTGGTGCAGTAACTGTCAGCAGCTTCAGTTAATGGCAGCAGTTAAACACCCCAATTGTATAAACTAATTGGGAATTGATTTGACTGGAAATATTCTCTCACTTTAGGTTTAAGCTGCTCTCCCAGGAAGAAGGCGAGTACTTCAATGTACCCGTCCCTCCGGAGGGGGAGGAGGGCAACGAGGAGCTACGGCAGAAATTTGAGGTGTGTGTGCATTAAAATCTTAAAAGTTGACGTACAGTGCAGGTGATTAAAGGGTTACCTGTGTGCGTGCGTGTGTGTGTGTGTGTGTGTGTGTGTGTGTGTGTGTGTGCGCATGTGTGTGAGGACTATGCATCTGTGTGTGTCTGAGTGAGGGCCACTCTGGGAGAGCTGTTAGCAGTTGGCAGGCACACTTATAGCACCATCCGGTCTGGCACACTGCAGGCCCAGTGTGTGCGTGTGTGTGCGCGTGTGTGTGTGTGAGTAACAGCTGACCAGTAGGCCCATTCATTTGGCAGTGTTGAGGATAACCACTTTGTTTTTTTTCTCTCTCTCTTTTACTCGCCTCCTTCTGTCTTTGTGACACTCAGCCACAAACCTGAAAGACTTTTTGTGAATGTGTTAAAATAGTGATGTTAGTAGCAAATTTGCTTCTGTCACAGTTTAGGAAAATGTTCTTGCAGGGCATGTTAAAAAAAAGAAGATGAAAAATACACAGTTTGTTTGAAATACAGTCTTGTCCAAAGGTCTTTAACCCCACCCCCAATTTTTTCATGCATTAAATATTTTTTTTCAGGTCTGACGCTTCTATTGTTCTCAACTTGTACAGTTTCCTTAAATTTTTTAGAGACATGCTGCACACCATACTGAGATCCACTCATTTTTCTGATTCTAGCTAATCCTGATGGTGCAAAAATATTACTTTTTATGTCTGTGAAGCTGCATTACCATTGGCATGTTTTTTGGCAGGTTCAAGTGAAGAAATGGAAACAAATGATGTATGAGGGGGATAAAACTTTTAAGGTTTTGACCAACAAACGGTGAACTAAAAATGCAGGACACAGAATCAGAGTTTAGAAGGTTGATTGTGGAGGGAAGTGTAGAGTGGAAAGTTCCAGGCAAGTGGCGTGCCCCGGAGGTCTGTGGCTGAGCTGGCGGGGAGGAGAGAGGCAGGGTTTGCAAACCTGAGAGGTGAATTGCAGGCGAGTGGGTTTAGAGGGCAGCTGGCTGACACGCACAAGGAGAGATGAGTTCACAAGAGCTAGAAAACTGTTAATGGATCGGACCTTGCATGCGGAACGATTACAAAGAAGAGATTTTCCCTTCATTAGATAGTTTTGCTATAATCTTCTTGATTGTGCCTTTATTTTAACAATCACAAGTTCAATGTAAGTGCGCTGCAGTATTCTTTATGGCTAATTGTTTGAATGTTGGCTTCATAGGGAAGCTATTCCTGCCTTCTATCCTTCCTTTCTCTCAGCGTTCCTCCTCCCTGTCCTCATTCAGCTTCCCTCTCCCTCCTTGACTTATCTGTTTTGTCCGCTGTCACCTTTGCAGCCCGCCTTGTGATTTTCTTTCTTTTAATCTGTATTTCTTTCCCATGTCTCCTCAAGGTCACGCTCCTCAGACGTTTACTGAGACAAATTCTCGGGGGGGGGCAGATGTCACACACGCACACACAGAAACATGCGCATCCACACAAGCTTGAATTCAACCTCTGGGGTGAAGCCTTCAGAGAGGTTGCAATGAGAAAGAAAGACACAGATGCCTCCATCTCATACACATGATGAAACTCAGAATAAGATATGAAGGAGAAGGCGATTTGACTTTTACGATAAATTTGCTCTCATTTTCCTGTATGCTGATTACATTCGGTTTACAGTTCACTGTAAATGTGTGGGAAAAGCATCTAGAACAGCTTGTTGGAAGACAGCTGGGACTTCAGCGTCACCACTGATATTTGGGGGAGCAGTGTTTGCCTGGTGTCACGGACTGATATCAATTGATTTCAAAGGAGTTTCTGCAACACACATTGGTACCATGTGGTAACTGTAACTTTTAGAGTAGGAAAACCACATCACTAACAAGTGCTTTAAATGTATTTTAGGGGTGGAAATCAAGACGTAATAACACTTTATTTTACCGTGTCCGATACTTTGCCTTTTTGAGTTCCTTCTTCCTGTGTGAGATTGGTAAACGCTCTTCGGCACATGTTCTGATCTAATTTGGCACCACTATATTGATAATTGTGTCACCAGAGAAGGCAGTAAAATATATTGGTACATCAGTATTTTGTCCCAGCCTTATTGTACTCAGCCAGTACCCAAATCTACTTGTAATTAAGAGGGCACAGAGTTTTGGGGGGTGGGGTTTCAGTTCTGAGGACCTTTAATGACATCCTTCTGTTTGCATTCAGCATTTGTCTGGTGGTCTTTTATCATCTGCATGGCTTTAGCGTCAAACATAAGGCCTGCGTGCCAGAATCAGCCTGACAAAGACCCCAATCTGGCCCGCTGGCAGGCTTTGGAAAATGTAAAGGAGGGCATAGATTTTGGTCTTTTAACTGTAGTTTTAAATCTCATGGACATTGACAGTACAGCAAAGTAATTCAGTTATAGATTTACACACATTCTTCCAATCTAAGCTCAAAGAGTCATGCTGACAGATTTCTTTCATTTACTACAGCAGCATTTCTTTACCATGTAGAAAACCTGAGACATAATGTTACAATTGCTCTTCTTTGTCTTACATTAAGGTCTCTCATTGATTGAATGCGTAGTTAAACCTTTTACACTGACAGAAATTGGAGTTTCACCAGTTCGGCCCACATAAGATCAAAGTGGGCTGTATGTAGCCCGCTGTATAAAACGAGTTAGACATTCCTGCTTTAGACAGAGTTAGTGCGAGAGAGCGGCATTACTCTGCAGGCTTTGCCTTCAGCATGCTCCGCTGCTCGCAAACACCTTGACTGTTCCCGCTTGTTTGTGTGTCTGTGTGTGTTTGCGTGACAACAGATGGAGACAGATAGAGGCTTTTATCCATTGATGAGCTGAGAACTGTATGGCGTGCACCACACGCAGTGCAGGGAGCCGCAGAGCAGTGGCAGTGAGGAAATTACTGCAGCGGCACAGGACAAAAAGTGCAGAGACCGTCAGTGTGGATCATCAGTTTAAGATAAGATTGGAAAAAGATTAGATGTGCTCTGCCTGTACCTCTGTTTCTGAGCGAGGAGGCATGTATTAATTAAGATTAATATACTAAGAGCATTTTAAAACTGAAGCGCGGCTTAACAAAGTAGAGAATACGATTAAAATTCTTACAAGGGAGATAAGACGAGAGGGAATGACAAGGTCGAGACAGAGAGATGGTTAGAAATGAAGAGCGAGCAGAGGACTGACAGCTGCTGATACACACGAATAAATGGAAAGTTAGAGACAAAGGCCAAATCTATAAAGATGAAGGTGAAAATGAAACAGAATAAATGATAAACGAAACACAACGAGGAAGATTTCTGTCTTTCAACACATTTTGATTGTTTCACAGTAAAATTTAAAGGCATGGAGTTATGTTTACGTCTGGGGCTTCAGTATCTTAAAGTCAGTAATTATTTGTGTGCGCTTAGTGGTTTTTATATAAACTGAAAAAAAAAAGATAAAAAACGATCTTTCTGGTTTTTGCCAGTAAAGGTTGCAAATGCAAACACAAACAAATATCATACTTTACACATGAGCACTATGTAGAAGTCTTTTTGCCACACTGTGTTTTAATTTTGCAGTCAGACAAAGGAAAACAGTGGTACATGTCACTGAAACCGTAAATGCTTTACTTAGTCCCTAAGGACCCCAAAGCACTTTACATTCAGTGATGGCAAGCTGGGGCGCACTGACAGAGGTGAGGCTGCCGGACACTGGCGCCACCGGGCCCTCTGACCACCACCAGTAGGCAACGGGTGAAGTGTCTTGCCCAAGGACACAACGAGCTGGGGCTCGAACCGGCAACCTTCCGATTACAAGACGAGCTGCCAACTCTTGAGCCACGATCGCCCCGTAAAACCGTGACACGATCACAATTACTGTGAGTGCGTGCAATGAACTCACAATCTTTGTTGCACCAAGACAGCAATAAAATGACAATAAGCTGGCAACAAGAGTCAGTCTGCTACCAGTTGTGACTGAATGGGGTCAATTTAGCAATTACATGCAATCTGTTCATGATAATACAGAGATTAAATGTGATAAATCAGGGAAAATCTCAAATATATTCACATTACCTCCTTCATTCAGAGGAAATTTCACCAAGCATAGTTATCAGAAAGAGGGAAAACGTGGCCCCAAGGAGCAGACTCACAGAAATGGAGGACATTGAAAGGGATTTTATTTACAGTGAATCAACAAATTAAAGTTAGTGAGGCACGACTGGTGCAGATTTAGTGGGATGATCTAAAAGAGGGAAAAAACTGAGTTAGAAATAAAGGAGCTGCTGTAACTAAATTAAACAAAGGGAAAAGCAAATGGTGCTTACTCGTCACACTGTTGTGCAAGAGGGAACAGAGGGGTTACCAAGAGAGGCCAAGATGGGGAGACGAGATTGCAGGCAGGCAGGTGAGTGGGGAAGCCAGGTGGGTTACTCCAGGAAGCTTAAGGTTTGTAATTCTTCCAAATATGGTTTCATGGGTCTGGAGAAAGTAAGACTAAACTAAAGTAGCACAGGAAAAACAGGTTTATAACTTGAAGCAAAGGAATAGGAGAAACACTAGAGATCCTAAAGGTTACCATAAAGGCTGCAATAATGATCTGGCAAAGAACTGCCGCTCCGTTGCCGCCCTGATAAGGGAGATCAGACACAACTATGTGAGGCAAACCATCCCCAGCCTGTCCAGACTCACAATGGTCAGTCTCAGGGCGTTAGGGCGTTTTCACACCTACAGTTCGTTTACTCTGGATTGAATCAGTTGATGAGTTTGTGAACTTGTAGCTTTTCCCCATGGTTTGTTTTCTTTTTGCAGAGAGAAAAATCCAAGTGAACTCTAAGCAAACCAAAATGCGTCACCACTTACTAGATGAGAATATTCAGTCTGCTTATTGGCCAGCTGTGTCTGGGCCGGGAGCAACAAAAGTAAATACAGGAAGAAGGTTCTGTGTTCTGGAATACTACAAGCATGAACATGGAGAATGTTCATTCCACAGCTAGTTGCTAGCTCATACAGACGTTTGGACATCTATACTACCTCCTACATCCCAGAGTACAGAGCATGCATGGCTCCAGGAAGTTATTAGCTCAGACTTGAAACGTACACCCGGTAGTTGGTTTGGATCGAGGTCAGATCACATTCACACCATAGATAAACTGCATTAAAGTTCATTTGGAACCAAACCATCTAAAAGGTCTCAGTGCGGTCGTTTTGGTCCACACCCAAGTGCGATTACCGTGTTCACACCTGCACAAGTGAAACACACCAAGGGGGAAAACAAACCAGATATCAATTTAAACAGAGTAAACACTGCAGGTATAAAAACATCTTCAGAGTCGGACCTAATTGTTTGGTGACCTGGGGTTGAGGGTGTCGCATGTTCTGAGCGACCGGTAACTTGTTATAGTGAATGCAAAAAGCATTCTATGCAATCACCAGGAAGCCACGACAGCCTGGAAGTTTCCAGAAAACTAGAGCTACTGTGACTGGTCCATATTATGTAATTACGGTTTTAAATCATATAAACCACTAAGAGCAGATCTTTAATTCTCAGTTGTTAGGTCTTATAGTCATGCTTACTAATCTGTTTCTGATTTGATCTTTGTTTATGGCAATTATGCAAGTGTTTTCAAAATTACTAATAGTATTCATTAACATTAAAATGCTACAAAAAGCACTTCTTAATTAAGTCCAGATGGCTCAATAACACCAACATCCTCATCCTGACATTTTAAAAAAATATTAGCTCACTATGAAATCCTGGATTTCGGGTGCCAATTTGTTTTGCCTAATTTCTCCTTTATTTTCTCTCACCCCCATCTAGAGGGCTAAAATTGGTCCGGGGAAGAACACAGAAGGGAAGTCAGCCAACGCCGCATCCCGGTTCGACTCCAATGGCAACCAAGACCGCATGAAGTTGTCTGACTTTAACTTCCTCATGGTGCTGGGCAAGGGCAGCTTTGGCAAGGTAAGACGTGATGTTTAAGTGTGTGTGTGTGTGTGTTACTGTTTTTGATATTTAACACCATCGACTTGGTGGGGATGCCAGATGGAAATTAGCCTGCATGGCTAAATCTGGCACATTTGTATTATATACCCTTCTGCCAATTAATATTTTCACTTTTTAAATAAAGTAAACAAAAAATAAACATTTTCTATGGGATACAAGGTACAGTCAAAAAGAACAGTGGCCTCACCCTTAAAATCCAAAAATCAGCACAATCATAGCTTAACAACTTGCTATACAGTGGGGGAAAAAAGTATTTAGTCAGCCACCGATTGTGCAAGTTCCCCCACTTAAAATGATGACAGAGGTCAGTAATTTGCACCAGAGGTACACTTCAACTGTGAGAGACAGAATGTGAAAAAAAAAATCCATGAATTCACATGGTAGGATTTGTAAAGAATTTATTCGTAAATTAGGGTGGAAAATAAGTATTTGGTCACCTCAAACAAGGAAAATCTCTGGCTCTCACAGACCTGTAACGTCTTCTGTAAGAAGCTTTTCTGTCCCCCACTCGTTACCTGTATGAATGGCACCTGTTTGAACTCATCATCTGTATAAAAGACACCTGTCCACAGCCGCAAACAGTCAGACTCCAAACTCCGCCATGGCCAAGACCAAAGAGCTTTCGAAGGACACCAGGAAAAGTATTGTAGACCTGCACCAGACTGGGAAGAGTGAATCTACAATAGGCAAGCAGCTTGGTGTGAAAAAAATCAACTGTGGGAGCAATCATCAGAAAATGGAAGACATACAAGACCGCTGATAATCTCCCTCGATCTGGGGCTCCACGCAAGATCTTATCCCGTGGGGTCAAAATGATCATGAGAACGGTGAGCAAAGATCCCAGAACCACACGGGGGGACCTGGTGAATGACCTGCAGAGAGCTGGGACCAAAGTAACAAAGGTCACCATCAGTAACACACTACAACGGCAGGGAATCAAATCCCGCAGTGCCAGACGTGTTCCGCTGCTGAAGCCAGTGCATGTCCAGGCCCGTCTGAAGTTTGCCAGAGAGCACATGGATGATACAGCAGAGGATTGGGAGAATGTCATGTGGTCAGATGAAACCAAAGTAGAACTTTTTGGTATAAACTCAACTCGTCGTGTTTGGAGGAAGAAGAATACTGAGTTGCATCCCAAGAACACCATACCTACTGTGAAGCATGGGGGTGGAAACATCATGCTATGGGGCTGTTTTTCTGCCAAGGGGACAGGACGACTGATCCGTGTTAAGGACAGAATGAATGGGGCCATGTATCGTGAGATTTTGAGCCAAAACCTCCTTCCATCAGTGAGAACTTTGAAGATGAAACGAGGTTGGGTCTTCCAACATGACAATGATCCAAAACACACCGCCCGGGCAACAAAGGAGTGGCTCCGTAAGAAGCATTTGAAAGTCCTGGAGTGGCCTAGCCAGTCTCCAGACCTCAACCCCATAGAAAATCTGTGGCGGGAGTTGAAAGTCCGTGTTGCTCGGCGACAGCCCCAAAACATCGCTGCTCTCGAGAAGATCTGCATGGAGGAATGGGCCAAAATACCAGCTACTGTGTGTGCAAACCTGGTAAAGACCTATAGTAAACGTTTGACCTCTGTTATTGCCAACAAAGGTTATGTTACAAAGTATTGAGTTGTATTTTTATTATTGACCAAATACTTATTTTCCACCCTGATTTACGAATAAATTCTTTACAAATCCTACCATGTGGATTCATGGATTTTTTTTTCACATTCTGTCTCTCACAGTTGAAGTGTACCTCTGGTGCAAATTACTGACCTCTGTCATCATTTTAGGTGGGGGAACTTGCACAATCGGTGGCTGACTAAATACTTTTTTGCCCCACTGTATATTATGCTCCCTGTGACTTTGGCCTCTTAATTTACATGTAGTTTAAGTCGATATATGAGCCAGCTATCATGGACACAGAAAACCTTGTTTTTTTTTATAACTTGTGTGCTATAGCGAATATATCTGGGAGGCTCTTGTTTGTCTGTGTGTTTGTTTGTTTGAGCATCAGAGCTTTGCTGTATAACTGCAAACAGAGCTTACAGCAAAGGAAAGAAAACATGGCCAAAAAGAGGAGATGGAGACAGAGGGAATCAAAGGTGATGAAGCACGAGTAGGGCGAGGTGGATGAAGAGAAAGAGGTGAGGAAGATGATGCGACAAACAGGTAGGCGATGGAAGAAGAGAGGCGAGAGATGTGAGGCATCGCGACAAGGTTGACGTGAATAAAATGAGCGAGAGGTAAAAACGTTGGACTGAATGAAAAGCGGGAAAAGGCGGGGGGCGGGGCGGGGGGGATGTTAGAGTGATGTGAATGAATGAAAATCAAGGCAAGAAACAGAAAGAATGGGAAGATGCTGTGAAAGCCAGACAGAGGGGTAGAGCAGCAGGGTGGAGGGAGGCCGAAAGTGACATAAAGAGCACGAAAGAGAGAGAGAGAGACCATTGTCTGAGTATCAGACTTGTATGCCGGCTGCCTGTTTCCATGGTAACAAGCATTTAAAGCTACACTGATGCGTCATTGTAATGGAGCCTGAGTTGAAGCGCGATCATTACTGGAATACCCAACTCACACAAACGCAGACTGCTGAAGCATGCAGAGATGCACAGCTTCAGCAGAAGACAAAGTGTACACACACACACAAGCAAACACACACATGTTGGAAAGCACATTCCTGCAAATGTAAATCCAACAGTCATTTTAGTCTGTGCTATGCAGACGCACACACGCACCAGAACATTTTGTGAGACGAGTCGCTCACATGACGTGTGTGTCACTTTAAAGGTTCCTGAGTGTGCGTGGGAGGCTGGTAGGACCTGCTGCCACACAACCGGAGTAACACAATACTGCTGCAAACACTTCTCTGTGATTATAGGACACATGTGCAGTCAAGAGGGCACGCTTCATTTTGGCCTGCCTCATCATTCTTTATACGCATGCATCGCGGCGTAATAAGAGCTGGAGTTGCACAGACACACAAAAATAACTTCAAGTTTACAGCTGCTGCTTCCCAAAGGCAGTTGGTGTCTCATTTTCATACGGCGCCACAGCAAAAACAGGCATTGCTGTGCAGAATAATGAATTTTAGCAAATTTAATGATAGCCAAAAGCAAAAATTGTCATTACTGTAAGGTCAAGGGTGTCAAACATGAGGCCCAGGGACCAGAATCAGCCCAGCAAGGACTCCAATTCGGCCCACTATACAGCTTCAGAATAATGAAGGAGGGCATAACGCTTTTTTGGACATTTATCGTATAGTTTCATTGGTTCGGTCCACTCAAGATCCAAGTGTGTTGCAAATGGTCCACAACATAAAATACATTAAGGACTTATATTCTGAGAGTTTGTAGCCTTCTTTTTTTGAAAACACTGTAGAATAGACAGTAAGGCGTGAAGATACCACAGGGGGGACTGACACAGTTCCCCGGGTGGGCTCCCTGCAGTAGCCTTTGAGCATACGGGTGAGGAATTGTGTTAGGATACATGAATGTTCCCTTTAGTTTTTTGGTGGGACACAGTAACACAATACCAGCAATAACACTTCAGCTGAGAGATGCATGTATTTTTAATCGCTATAAAATCATTTTTGTGTTGCCAACATCCTTGCCTGGATTTGTGGCAATGGCTACAGTGTTGAATTATCCCTGGAAGCACAACATCAGGAATTATTAAAAAAAAAACATCTCTGCACTTTCCATACTTTGCGCAGCCATCCAGTGGGCCTGGTTTGGAAGCTCTAATAGGCCACAAACCTCATGCTTGACAATCCTCTAGACCAGCTAAGACTGTGTGGTAGTGGGCTATTACACAACAAATTAGTTCTTGGTTACAGTTTCCCCCCTTTCTCCTCACAGAAGACACTGCAGCCTGAGATTTGCTGTACACAGAAGAATAATTATTGGAGTAATGAACAAACTGATGGTATTTAAAAAGAAATGTTCTTCAAGCCCACCACACAAACACTGTAACTAAAGCCACTGCAGACATGATCCAAATGCAAAAGGAAGTCTTAAAAGTTTTCATTTAGGTTTTCTTGGAACACTCAATGCCTCAGTGGAAACAACAGCTGCGTATACTATATATAATAAATGACCGTTTTTAATGATACACACAGCCCACTGTGATGCAGCACAGTGCAGATTCTTGCAGGGCAGCATTCATTTTGCCTGGATAAATTCACTGTGCAAGGTCAGCAGAGAAAACACAGCGGCATCATTTACGACACATGACAGCTAATATCCTCGAGACGGCTTTCTGGCAAACGACCCTGAAAAACTTCCCAGGGTGCAAACAGTGACACACATGCTGCAACCGGTCTATGAGTGGATCAGACACCAAACATCCTTGTGGTCAAGCACAATAACTGGGAAGGTGAAAAAACAAGGATAATAAATGCAGAAGTTAAAATGTGTAATCGATGGTGGTGTAATGATGCCAAAAAGATCATGTTGTTACTGTCTGACCTGTGCGTTTTATGTCTTTCTCCTGTGCTGGCCTTGTCCTTGTGGTTGTATAAAATGAACTTTGGGCCAGATGGTGTCCTTCCTCTCTGTTTCAACTCTATAAAGTTTGTATTTACATAAAGTCACGCTGCCACCATATGCACACACGCACACACTCAGTTGTGTTCAACAAAGTATACTACCAGCTGAAGTTTTTAAAACTGGCAGCTGTATAACCAAAAACGCATATTAATACCCTGATACGTGCTCACGCACACACCCGTCTACATATATAACTGCGTCTCTTTGTCCATATGTGCTGCACTCCCCACAGAATACCGAACCCAGTAACCTCTCTGCATTATCATACCTGAATATTTATAAGACATAAACAGCAAAGTTGCTAAGTTTCTCATCTCAGAGGGGGAAAGCAGGAATAAGAGGTCACTCTTATTGCTCCATTCTTAAAGAATTTAGAGAGAATAACGAGTGTGACATCAATGTGTTTGCACCGCGAAGCTGATGCTCATTTCCTGCCTCTAAATAATGAGTAAGAAGAAGTAATTTTTTTTTATTTCTTACGTCTTTGTGGTATATGTTTCTATTTGCAGACATACAGCCTGTAGAGATCAAGCTTGTGTTCTTTCTCACGGCTGTGTCTGTTAGCCTCAGAGGAATGGTCAAGTGGAATTTTGGTGACTAGGTTCGCCCTGTGGTTTGTGCAAATTAAAATCGAATGTTTAATAATAGATATAAATGCACAATACAACTGAATGAAAAACAACTTCTTGAGGTCACAGAAGTCATTTGGCCTTATGGGAACTACACATGGCAAACACCGCAGCCTTTCCACAGCATTCTAAAATGTAAGTTGGTGCCTTTGCCCTTATTCCAAGCAAGAAATCATTGAAATATCTTCAAGATGGGCAGCAATGCGTTACAAGTAACACATTACTGTAATCTGATTAATTCTTAAGGTAATGAGTAAAGTAATTATTGCAAAAAAGTAATTAGATTACTCTTACTTTTCCGCAACCACGCTGTGTTACTGCGTTACTTAATCGTGATTTTTGTTTGCGAGAGTGTCTCATGACAATGACGTACGAGCGTGTGACGCCCGTGGCAGCAACAGACGTGTGCAGATCAACAATGGATCATATGGAGTGCAGGAGATAGTACGACCATGCAGCATTTAAAGCGTGGAAGTACTGACATTGCTTTGAGTTTGAGTCCCTAAAAAGTGACAAAAACATTAGCATCCGTTGTACAGTCTGCGTGGAAAGAAAACTTCTTTTTACAGCGAAAAATTAAACTTCAAATCTGAGCAAGCACCTAGCACGCTTCCACGGGAATGTGAAATTCACAGAGCGAACCTCAGATCCCCCAACTGACATACCGCTGCGGCACCAGGCAAACCTCCGCGTGCTCCACTCTTGCTAAACAGGTGAAAACAGATTTAAGAGCAACAGGATTTAGTGCTGCTGAATCTTTGGTTTTATTTATTTTTTGCTGTGTTTTACTTGCATCTATTTGAAAGACACAAAAAAACGATTTTTATGCTGGAATATGCAGAAAATAGGTTTGAATGTTAAGTAATAAATAACTAAGTAATAAAGTAACTAATTACTTTTGGAAAATAAGTAATCAGTAAAGTATTGGGATTACTTTCTTGGAGAAGTAATCAGTAATTAGTAATGAATTACTGTTTTCAAGTGACCACCACTGCTACTAAGTCACAGTGACTTTCTGGAAAAAAAACAGACAAGTGTGAAAAATGAAGCACAACCTTATTGCTTCCATAGGAATGAGGGGGTAACATTAGCCAAATTATTAGCTGATTATTAGCACGTGGAAAGATAGAAGCAGAGGCTTTAGCAGTTTGCTGCTCTGTAGCATTCAGGTGTCTGTTAACACAATGCCACAATCTTCCCAGGAGTGAACGTCCCAGCAAATTCAGTTCAAGGTCAGGGTCAGAGAAACTACCGACAGATTGTGCAGACCTCAGTTAGCATGTTAAATGTAAAAGCTCATGACAGTACAGAAACAAAACTGAAGGAACCACAAGAGTTCTTCCACAATATGCTTTGAAAAGAGGAGAACGAAGCTGTTTGGCAACAAACAAACACAGTATATGGGCACAAACGCCTCATACCAGCTGTCAAGCACGGTGGTGGAGGGGTGATGATTTGGGGTTGTTTTACAGCCACAGGACCGGTGCATCTTACAGTCATTGAGTCGACTAGAGTCACATGTAGTAGTACATTAATATGCCTCTAGGTTAAAATTCAACATATAAGGAACAGTTAATTTTGTAGCTGTGTGGTTAGATAGGCTGAAACACACCAACTCTCTGCATTTCTCAAACTATCTCAATGTTACCTTAAACATGAATGCTGCACACACACCCTCAACAGGCTCCTGTAAATCCTTTCTTTCTTTGAAGGTTGAATTTAATTGAACTTTTGCTCTGGTCACAAGTCTGTGTGAACCTTTCATGACACCTGGTCCACATTTGGCAACCACATAAAAGTAATCACAATTCAGGGTGTGTTTATTTTCATTTATGTGCATCTCATAAGTGGATTACAAGAAGCTGTCATCCTTGAATTCCCAATAAAAAGTCAAACTTGAGTGCTGCCAGGCAGTTTCTGAGTTCGCCCATGTGTCCCTCACAACACCCTGCCCTTCTTAAAATTTATTTAACCTTTTTTTCTGTTTTTTAATCCCAGTCTCTACACCTATCAACCTTCCTTTATCTACAGTTTCCCCACACTGTGAACTATATGATCCAGGAAATGTGAAATAAGCCCTTTTTACTTTGATTTTTGTCTTCTTTGTCTTTTTTTCTCTCCTTTGCTTCATCCTTACTGTTCATGAAGGGCAAAAGGAAGTCGAACAGTATAAAAATCTTTGAGAAACTCTGACTAATATTAAAGTTATCACAAGAAGAACCACTGGCTAAGCGCTTTCTCCCCTCTAACGGCATCATTATGTTTAATACTTGTAAGAGTGGCGAGTTTCGAATTCATTATATAATTAATGTTTGTTAAAGCCTTGCTAGCCATCCAGCAGGGGTTATTGAACACAGATTTTGTGGCTTACAGAACAGGCCGTTAAAAAATGTCTCGATTACGATTAATTTTTGTTATCTCGCACAAATTGTACCCATGTAATGTATGTGATGTATAAAAATGGCTTTGAGTGACTCTGTAAGAGGCTTCACATCATCCCATTTTCCTCTTTCTCTCCTTTCTTATTCCCCTGGTTATTTCGCCTCCATTGGCATCTTGAAAAGTGATGAATCGGTTTCTCTTTGTCTTTTTTCTCTTTATTTCTTACTTTGACTGTCTAACCCAAAACAGTCAGAGAAGCTTTCCTTCATCGCTCTGATCCTTTATCCCCGTCCTTCACAATACCTCCCCTGTTTCTCCTGTTTCTCCTTTTCTCTCTCTGTTTCTTTCCCTTCTTTGTTGGTACAGAGCCATGACAGCAGCTGTGAGCCTTAAAGATTTTGAATATTGATGAATTCATCTTCTCGCATTTCCCACATGTTCTTTGTTCGCCCTCTCTCTAAGGTGATGCTGGCAGAGCGCAAAGGAACCGAGGACTTGTACGCTGTAAAGATCCTGAAGAAGGACGTCGTGATCCAAGATGATGACGTAGAGTGCACCATGGTGGAGAAGAGAGTGCTAGCTTTATCTGGAAAGCCCCCGTTCTTAACACAGCTGCACTCTACCTTCCAGACTATGGTGAGTGGGCCGACATGTTCCCACCGAATATATCTCACTGAGATATATTCATTTTATTTTATACAAACTTAAAAGCTGCCCTGTTTTAACTTGTCACTCCTTAAATTTAATTGGCACTTTCAGAATATACTGTCATGTTCCATCATGGATCTCAAACAAGTAATAGACATTAATACCAATGCTGAAGCTAACACTTTTTTAGGTACACCTTGTTTTCACCTTGAGAATTTCCTTCATTCTTCATGGCACAGATTTAACCGGGTCATGGAAACATTCCTTATTTATTCTGGTCCATGTTGACATGGCTGCATCACACATGTTAATCTCCCATCTCACCACAACTCACTGTTGCATTCAAGAAACCATGATTTGAGCTTTGTGACACAGTGTGTTATCCTGAGGATGGTGCACTGTAGGCAAAAAGGCTGCTAAGTTGGTACTAAAGGGCCCACAGTGTGCCAAGAAATACTATTACACCCCCACACAAGGCAGGAGGAATCTGAGGTTTCATGTTGTTTATGCTAAATTCTGACCTTCAACACTAATCAGACCAATGCTTTTCAAATATTTTAATCCAGTTTTGTTAAGATTGTGTGATTTGTATTCTCAGTTTCCTGTTCTTAACAGGAAACAACAAACACTCCACATTCAAAGTCACCTAAATCCCATTTTGCCCCCTTTATGATGCTCAGTTTGGAGTTCAGCAGGTCACCTGCACCGTGTCTACATGCCTGAGTGCATAGAGCTGCTGCCATGTGATTGGCTAACTGGATATTTGCATTAAGAAGTAGTTGAACAGGTGTAGCTTCTAAAGTGGTGGTCTTTGTATTTGGAAGGAATTTTAGACCCGGTTTCTCAAAATGTAATTTGTACTTTAACTTTATATTGTGTATCTTTTATTTATTCGTTTTGTTATTCAGTCTACATGGATTATATTAACCTTTCAGTGGAAAAATGTGGAGTTTTTTGTTTTTTTAATATATCTGGTTACACATGCTACCAAACACAAGAACTACAACCTAAAAAAAACATCTGGAGTGACTGCTTACCTGTTGTCCCAAGTTTACAGCTGGAATGCACAAACTTTATAATGTGCATTAGTCCTAATGATGAGTCAGCAGAGGGGTAAATATAGCTCTCCTGCTTCATTAACACTCATCTCTGCATTCTCACTGATTAGTGATGTGTTGTAAATGCATTTGAATGACAAAAGTAAATAAAACCGATCTGATACTGACACACACACCTACACACACACACATTTTGTACATCAAATTCAGTTATTACATGCAGGCAGTTACAATGCAATTACAATCATGCATGCACACATCCATACAGTAATATGGCGCCTATGCAGTGCATACGCAAGTACAGTTAAACCACACACACTCACACACACACAGATACTATAGGCTCGCACACAGAACAAGCAACTGCTCATAAGACTTATCAGGGAGTACAGACTCTAACACTAAAAAACTTCGCAATAAACTCCAGAACACACAGACACACACACCAAATCCCTCCACATTTTCTCACTTACTGAAACTTATTGGCAATTTCTGTAGATAATGGAGGACTACAGGTCCCTAAATTGATGTCACCGTGTTCCCTCAGTTGAAGACTTATTGGATCCACCGACAACCCAATCACCACTTTTCTCCCCGTCCTCCTCACTTCCTCTGTCATATTTTCTGCATCTCTCCTCTGATCTTCTCTCAATTCGCGCATCAAACTCACAGCAGTCCCTTCCACTTCCACAGTATTTTACGCTCCTTTGACCTCTCATCCATTTTTATTAACGTGCACTTTGTGACCTGTCTTTCTCTGCTTGCCCTTCTACGCCCCCTCCACAGGACCGTTTGTATTTTGTCATGGAGTACATAAACGGCGGAGATCTCATGTATCAGATACAGCAGGTCGGCAAGTTCAAAGAACCTCACGCTGTGTGAGTACACACACACACACACAGAAAATCAGAGCCCCGTGAAAGCAGGTGTTTCACACTTTAGTAATACCTGTTTAAATCGTGGTGAATAAGCCATCATCAGCTTGACTGGTGATGGATGAGCAATCCCAGCAGAGCCCGGAGGTGAAATATGTTGTTTGCCCCCAATGCAGCTTGCTGCTCTGAAGAGCTTCAAAGAAATGAAAGTAATCCAGCAGCTCCTGAGAGTTTTCAGTGCATGGCGCAGTACCTCCAGAACTGCAGAATATAATTACGGTGGCTGGCGAGATCGCTGGTGTCAAGCCCAACCAGCAGGCTGACACATTTGACAAGTGGGGCTGTCGGTGTCGAGCGAGAGCTGTTGAGGAGTTAGCCCTTCATGTAATTCATAGAGAATTAAAGTTTCTTCCCTATGGCTGAAGGTTCAGACTGCAGAGGGGGTAAGTCGAAGTACACGAGGAACTCTTTTAACTAAGGCCATCAGCTTGTTCGCTCTCTTTTTTTTATTAAACAGGAAATCCTTCTCCACGGATGATTAAATTGCTTTGAACTTCAGTGTTGCAGAGTCTTTTTGTATATTGAGAGCTTCAGTATTTATTCTTTAATGCTGCTGCTCATCATTCTGAGCACAGAAAGAACATCTAATTAGCTCCAAACGGGCTCTGCACAGTTTTCACAACCAAATGACTCTTGCTGTCTTTAAAATGCGCTTTTTAAACGCAGAGAGCGCATGCACGCCCGCGCAAGCGTGGCCGACTGTGCGGTCTGTCCGTCCAGACCTCTGCCGCTGATCTTATCAGTTGCTTGCTGGCCTTGAAGAGACAGGAGTGACCTTTACTCTGACACGCGCATACACGCACACAAATGATCTGTTTTCCTGCTGTCCTTTTTCTCGGCCTCTGTCTAATTGCCGTTGTTGTTGCCGTTTGTGTTTTTTTTGTGTGTGTGTGCGTGTGCGTGTGCGTGTGCGTGTGCGTGTGTGTGTGTGTGTGTGTGTGTGCAGATTCTACGCTGCAGAGATAGCGATTGGTCTGTTTTTCCTACATCAAAAGGGCATCATCTACAGGTAACATCCATAACACAACCTACTAAACGCAGAACATTAACCAAATATAGCTGAGCTCACACAGTAGTACGTACCTGAAATAGTGCAAATGAAATCCACGGTGTGTCTTTTTTCCAGTTTCCCCCTGTCTGCTCCTCTCCAGCGTATGTCGGCAATTTCTTCCTGTTAAAAGGGAGTTTTTCCTTCCCACTGTCGCCAAGTGCTTGCTTATAGGAGGTAGTTTGATTGTTCGGGTTTTCTTTGCATTATTCTAGGCTCTTTATCTTACAGTATAAAGCGCCTCGAGGCGGCTGCTGATGTGATTTGGCGCTATATAAATAAAACTCAACTGAACTGAATGAATTACTGCCATGTGCCAAATATACTCTTATACAATATGGAAGTTTATAAAATCAGGAAGTTTCAGAGTGAATTTGTGACTTGTCAGTAAAGTAAAGTTTCTTTCAGCACAGTATTAGCAGCTAGGATAATTAAAATGAACCTGTTGTGCTCATTTCCAGCACTGTTGTGTTCTTCTTGGACTACTAGAGAAGTTTTGTATGACTGGCAGTTCAAAATAGTCTTAATTTGTTAGAGTGATGTCAGTTTGATCACTACTGGTGTATTGCTACAAGCCAAAGGTGAATGTGAGCTATTCAGTACTATATATGTTTTATTATAAGGTACTTCACAAATGTAAAAGAAATGAGAAACAATGTAAATTTAACCTTTCTTCACATCTAACACATTGTTTGGACTAACGCAGGCATTCACTTCAACATGAGCTGGAAGTTGTACATAATGTAGATCCATCTGTAATGTTCAGAAAGGGTTGTACAGTCGAACTGATGCAGTCTCAATAGCTGAGGATCACATTTCACAAACCTTTTGAGCCTCTAAATTGAATTGTAATACAGATTTGCCGTTTCGAGTATCGATGCCAAGTTATGTTGATTAGTCTGTTGTTCCTTTTTGACTTTGCTTCACCCTCTCACAGAGACCTGAAGCTGGACAATGTAATGCTGGACTGTGAGGGCCACATTAAAATAGCAGACTTTGGCATGTGTAAAGAGAATATGAATGATGGAATCACAACCAAGACCTTCTGTGGCACACCGGATTACATTGCTCCTGAGGTAAAGTGTGTGTGAGAGTGATGGTGGTTGGATCTGTTGTATTGATCTCTCACTGTTCTCCTGCAGTAGCTACACAGCTCAAAAAGAGGCTAAATAAAACTTTTATTTTGGAAAAAACTTTGCTTTCTTGCAGACAACTAGAAGAGAATACTCTCGTGTTTGCATGTATGTAGCTGGAGCCATGCTTTACTTATTAATAGTACTTCTGTCCTAATGTAACAGGAGCACTTTCTAAAGCTCACTAAAATACTACATTAAATTTGTCTAATTTGTTAAAATACCCAAAGCTGAAAATGACACATTTCAGTTTTGCACCGGTTTTTGTGCCAGACTATTTCTTGGCCAGAAGCAGGGATTTCCTCAAGTCTTGCCGTCTTTTTATGTAACACTCAGCAGAAACGCCAACGAGCATCTCTCCATGAAAATAAACTCTCCCTTAAAGTGTCGGTGGTAGTTTGGTAGTTCTATTAGCTGGAATACATAATGATACTTTAATTGCATTTCAGCCTCACTATCAGTTTGCTCTCATGTCAGTCAGCCCATGTAGTCTAAACGTCCCTCAAAATTAACTGACTGTGTAGGTATTATATTTGGGAACATTATTACCTCCTGGATTCACACAATAAAAAAGCCTTTCAGTAAATTTACTGCACTCTGCTAAAGTAAATAGTTCTACCACTGTGAACTTGGTAAGTCAAATCAAAAATCAAATCAAATTCAAATTCAAATTTTATTTGTCACGTACACAGTCATACACAGTACGATATGTAGTGAAATGCTTGGACAACTGCTCGTGACCTAAAGAAAACAAAAAAGGAAAGGCTATGAATAAGATAGGAAATAAATATGAAAAATTAAAAAGGGTAAATTTAACTAGGAAGGAATAAAATATAAATTAAGGTTAAAAATGAAATAACTGTACAACACAAATTAGAATGAAGGGTAAATTTAACTGGGAAGAATAAGATAAAATATATAAATTAAAGTTGAAAATAAAATAACTGTACAACAAAATACACAATACACAATATAGAACTATATAAGAATGTATGAAGAAATCTAAATATAAATAAATATATACACAATAACAGCAGCATATACACAATAACAGCAGCAGTGATTTAAGTGATGAAGTGAAAACAATGTCCAGAATGTCCAGTGTGTGTAAGAACCATATGTGTGGGTCAGTACTGTGTGGTGGTGTGATTGAGAGACCGTATCGCCTGCGGGAAGAAGCTTCTCCTCAGTCTCTCTGTGTTGGTCTTCAGGGAGCGGAATCGCTTTCCTGACCTCAACAGAGAGAACAGTCTGTTGTTGGGATGGCTGAGGTCCTTCACGATCTTCCTGGCCTTGGTCCAGCACCGCCTGCTGTAGATTGAGTGCAGGTCAGGGAGCTCGGAGCGGATGGTGCACTCAGCTGACCGCACAACCCTCTGTAGAGCTCGTCTGTCCTGCATGGTGCTGTTCCCGAACCAGGTTAAGATGTTTCCCGTCAGGATGCTCTCTATGGTGCACGAGTAAAAGTTCCTGAGCACCTTGGAGGGCAGTTGGAAGTCTCTCAAGTGTCTGAGGTGGTAGAGACGCTGTCGGGCCTTTTTCACCACGGTGTTGATGTGACAGGACCATGACAGGTCCTGCGTGATGTGAACTCCGAGGTATTTGAAGCTGTCCACTCTCTCCACTGGGCACTCGTTGATGACGGGGGTCTGGTAGTTCCTCTCCTGCTTAGTGCTGAAGTCCACTATCAGCTCCTTTGTCTTACTGACGTTTAGAAGGAGGTTGTTCCTCTGGCACCAGTTCTCCAGATTCCTAATCTCCTTCAGGTAGGCCGTCTCGTTGTTATCAGAGATCAGGCCCACCACGACGGTGTCGTCAGCAAACTTGATGATGGTGGTGGAGCTGGTAGTGGCCACACAGTCATATGTGTACAAAGAGTACAGCAGGGGGCTCAGAACACACCCCTGGGGGGCTCCAGTGCTGAGAGTGGTGGAGGCTGAGACATGTCCGCCCATCCTTACTGCCTGTGGTCTGCCAGTTAGGAAGTTGGAGATCCACTGACACATAGATGAGCTGAGTCCCAGATGCTCCAGCTTGGTGGTGAGTGTGGAGGGAATTATGGTGTTAAATGCAGAGCTGTAGTCTATGAAGAACATTTTAACATAATTCCCCCTTCTAGTGTCCAAGTGAGTGAGTGATGTGTGGAGGAGATGAGAGATGGCATCGTCTGTGGAACGATTTGGATGGTAAGCAAACTGTAGTGGGTCCAGTGTGTCTGGTAGTGAAGAAATGATGAAGTCTCTGACCAGGCGTTCAAAGCACTTCATCACTACTGAGGTGAGGGCTACAGGGCGATAGTCATTGAGAGAAGCAGGGTGGGGTTTCTTCGGGACAGGAACAATGATGGACTCTTTGAAGCATGTGGGGATCACCGACTGAGATAAAGAGATGTTGAATATCTCAGTGAACACAGGAGCTAGCTGGTATGCGCAGTCTCTTAGGATACGACCTGGGATGCCGTCTGGTCCTGCTGCTTTCCTGGTGTTCACTCTCTTGAAGGCTCTCCTTACTTCATGCTCGGAGATGACGAGCACGTTTCCGGTGCTGGCAGTATCTTCCTGTCTGCAGCCGTTAGCGCCGCTAACACTAGCATTGTTGGAGTCAGTTGCAGGTGTGGTGCACACGTCTTACTTTTGATCCATAAAACTCATAAAGCTCATCTTGCACGTGAAGCAGGTGTTTTTCTAATTGATTTTTTTCTCATACAAAATAAATGTGGTGCACAAAAGTCTTTCACAAAATAGTATCTGCAGTGTTGTCTACAGTCCACAAAATGCCTGTACTGGTTTAAAAAAAATGCTGCTCTGCCCCTTAAGTGCTCGTTAAGTATCGGCAGTAACCCTGTGGGGACGCGTACTGTGCTTGTATTACAAATAACAAGAAAAAGTGAAGTCTAATTTTAAGCACTTTTAAAAATACAGCAGCTGTTGTACAAAATGAGTAAAATACATAAAAACAATTAAAAAAAAGAGAGCATAAATAAATAAAGCAGCACAAATACAAAGGGATCAGAACTTAAAAATAGATTTCAAAGCATCTAAAAGCCAAACCTGATCTCCTCTGGGTTTTAGTAGTTTAGTTTTGAGTATTTGACCAGCAGACCTCAGTAACCTAGTGGGAGTGTGCAAAGTCAAAAGATCAGAGAGGTCAACCCAACCCAGTGCGATGCATTCAAAACAAACAATAAAATCTTAAAATGATTTCTAAACCTGACTCACTGGCAGCCGGTGTAGGGGGAGCCAGTATGGGTGATATGTGGTCTCCCAGTTAATAGCCAATAACGCTTGATGGAAAGAACGACTTATCACTGTTGACTTTTTTTTTTTTTTGACTGGAGCTATTGTTTAACAGATAGGATCATTTTCTTTAATGCTGACTACCTTTGTATCATAGACTGAAGCGATGACTGCAGCATTTCTGAACAATGTGTCTCCTATGCTCAGATTATAGCCTACCAGCCTTACGGGAAATCTGTGGACTGGTGGGCCTTTGGCGTCTTGCTCTACGAGATGCTGGCTGGACAGGTTGGTGTGTGTGTGTGTGTGTGTGTGTGTGTGTGTGTGTGTGTGTGTGTGTGTGTGTGTGTGTGTATTTGTGTGTGTTCCTGTGTCTGTGTGTGAGAGAGAGAGAGTGGGTAATTGCACAAAGGATTTATTAATCTTGGTTAAGGAAAAAAAATATATAACACCATCTTTGGATCTACATGAATGTGTGATTCACGCTCCTTTCAGAGCAGCGTTTTGTATTCACGGCTGAGTGTGAATAAAAACAAACACTCCTGATCTCAGCCTTTAAAATGTGACACTGTGTAATGAAAGGTTAGCTATTAAATTATATGCTATAATGAGATTTTCTCTCGTGGCATTAATAATTGTTAAGATGTGACATTTTGAAATTCTGAATATTTCATTTAGAGGCCTGCAGCTTTTAGATTCTTGGGAGAAAAAAGCTGCTTTTAATGAATGAATCAAGTATCCTCTATTTGTCCTGTGCTGCCTTCTGCTTCTCCTCACTCATTTCTCTCCTGTCCTCTCAAGCCTCCATTTGACGGAGAGGATGAAGATGAGTTATTTCAGTCAATCATGGAGCACCACGTCTCCTATCCCAAGTCAATGTCCAAGGAGGCTGTCGCTATCTGTAAAGGGGTGAGTGTACGAAAAACACACACACGCACAAAGCACGCTTTAAGCCGCGAGTCCTTGCCCGTCTCTCAAGCTCAACCTCGCTCCCTCCTCGCAAACTCACTCTCCCGCTTTCTGTCTCGCTTCCCGTATCCTCCTGACACTCTTCCCTCTTGAACACAAACATGCCGAGGAGAGAACGAGGAAGGGATTAAATCCGCTTGAGGAAAGGATGCGGGAAGAGGGAGGAGGGTGAAAGGAGGAAAAGAAGGAGACATCAAAATTATCTGCATAATTAAATCCATTGTGGTGGAACATTTATTTGGAGCGAAACAACATTGTTCCCCTCTCGCTATCTTCCCCACTTCCATCTCGCCCGCCGTCTCTGTCGTAGCGCTGTCCTCGTCCATCCTTCCCCTCGCGCTCTGCAGTGTCCATTGTCAAGCTATTGTTGTGCCTTTTTTTTTTCATTGTACATCCCCTCTATCTCTTTATCACACACACATACACACACATTAGATGGCTCTAATAGCTTGAGCCTGTGCAGTTGGCTGTAGAAACTCCTTTTCAGAATAGACTGGCCAGGCCTGATTGCTGCACTCGGATTATTTGTGTTTTGCGGACACACAGTTTGTGTCACACACCCTTCGTCACATACCAAAAAACTGGAGAGAGAAAAAAATATCAATAAAATATTATTTTATCTTTTGAAGTTCTGCAGTACCCACAGAAAGCACCTACACATTAACATCAGTGTGTAGCGCGAGCGTGGATGAGGACACACACGCACACATTTGTTCCAGCATGACCTGAGTCATACATCCTCCTACTAAATTTAAAGGCAAAGGCATTCATAGGTAAATTACTGACAAGTACGTTCGCTGCATTACAAACGCCCACACTGGCTGTGTTATGTATTAGTGATGATTACCGGGTTGTAGTGCTGCAACAGTGCATCCTCAGTGGAGCATGAAAGCTCGCCTCCGTCCACCCCCAGAGCTCCCTCTGCACCCTGCTAGGACTGCCTGAGTTAACTCAGTGTGTGTGTGTGTGTGTGTGTGTGTGAGAGAGAGAGAGAGAGAGAGAGAGAGAGAGAGAGAGAGAGTCTCGGTGTGTATGTGAAGACAACATGAAGGCTTCATTTTAAATGCTACAAGATAATTCCATTATTCTGTTCATAAAGTGGATTTTTTCAGTGCTTTGCTTGATGCGTTCTGTCTACATGCTGGACGCTACCTTAAATAACCTGTTGTTGTAATGGGAAAATTACCACAGTTCAAGTAATCATTTTTAATAGAAGGTGATCATTTCTTGACAAGAATGAGAAGTAGTCTGATTAAAAGCAAGCATACTGATTGCAGTGTGCCTGACTCTCATCTGTTTTCAGTTTGTGTGAACAGAGATACAGGTCTCTCTGCCTCACCTCCTTCAAAACAGAAAGCTGAATGTCTTAGGCTTCAAATAATTGAAAATAACTAAGTCCATGCCAGCCAAATAAAAGCAACACTGCACGCCTCCGATCCATTATCAGATGATTAGCGCACTTTCAGGTATTAAAAGTCCAACTCTGCTGAAGTTGCGGCACGATTTCACAGCATCTCAGTAATCTGAGTTCAAACAAGAAGTAAATAGTTTAATTCTTGCCAGCATGCAGTGTTTTAATAGGCTGGTGTATTTAGATCAAATGCTTAAAAATTGTGTGTGGGTGTGTGTGAGGGGAGGTGGAGAGGGTTAGGACATGTGTGGAGAGGGAGTGATCATTTCCACTCCCCTGCTTCCACCCAATCAAGCATCCATATTTTATAGCCAGCAATGGGCAACCCGCACACAAACACACACACACATACTCTGTTCCAGTGTGTTTTGTAGCGCTGCAGTGTTAGCTACATGATTTGTTCAACTTCATTTGATTCTACAGCAAAGAGTAATTGCTCAGATGTGTCCTCACAAAAGCGAACACAGGTGCACACAAAAGCACAAAAGTGTTTTCTGCCACTGTTCTCTTTCTGCACTAACCACAGGAAGCTTTGTGAATGAAATCTCTGGGCCTCATGAGGACAGTCGCAAGTATGAAGTTTATTCATTCATCCATTTTCTTCCACTTATCCAATTCAGGGTTGCAGGGGGGCGCTGGAGCCTATCCCAGCTGCCATAACACAAAGAGACAGACAACCATTCACACTCAGATTCACACCTGTGGGCAATTTAGAATCACCATTTAATGTAACCCCACTAGCTGCATGTCTTTGGATTGTGGGAGGAAGCAGGAGTACCCGGAGAGAACCCACACAGTGTTGGGACAGTGGCAGGGGGAGTGTGACTGGGGCGGTACACCTGTCAAACAGCGGTCCTGAGATCAGAGAGGACAGAAACTTCCCATGGAGCAGACGGGCAAATGAAAAGCAGGGCCGCATGATCCGTCTGAGTTTTGGGGTTTTAAGTAGGAGGCGTCAGAAATGTTACCACAGTGATAACTGGCCTGTGGCAGCCAAGAGTTCATAGTGATGTCACCCTTGGTGGCACCAAGAACCTGCAACCTGGGAGCACGTGGCCCTTCTCTCCATCCATCCAGCACTGTGTTATTTGTTTGTTTGGCCTGGTTATTTTAGGTTTTACACCATACAACATTATGCATCCTTAACATTGAATCCCCCATCCAAATACTGACACATAGATAACACTCTTTAGCACACTCATGAAATATTATGGTTTTTAACCCCATTCAGTTAATAAATTGTTTGTCATGGCCCTCGAGCCAGACTGTCACACTACTGATGATGTGTTGCTGCAATAGCAATCCTGCTCTGTATGAGAGGAACCGCGGGTTGGTGTATGTGTTTGGTGTGAAGCTACCCTCTGAAGGGTTATTACCGAACGCCTCTAAGTCAGAATCCTGCCTAGATGCATTGATATCGCAGCGCTGTGGATCTTCAGTTGATCTCAGTCTCAGATGGCCCATCTCCAACATTGCAATCATGTAAATGATTTCCATCTGCATGGGATGGGTCCCTTCTGTGCTTACATGGAAAGCCAGAGGCAGGGAGAGCAGCAGCAAGGTCCTCCATGCAGAAAAAATGGAGGCATTAGTGAGAACAGAAATGATACCAAGTCAAATACAGCATGAAAAGGAGCTGGGGTGGAGGTGGGTTGCAAAGTGGCTTGCGTGTATTCATTAAAGAAGTTAGCCTACCAACACACATACACAGAGCCCGCTCTATGTATGTTTTACTAATTGGATGCATACAAATGTATACATACAAATGCAGCCAGCTGTACTCCGAGATATTTGTGGAAACTTAAAATATTGGTGACTTATTGGGTTAAAACTGGAAGCATACCCTTCAAAATGAAGACTGCAGATGTACATGGTTAGTATAGGCAGATAACTTTATTCCTGTTGATCTATGAGAGTTTCAGGTATTTAATCAAATCCAAGGGAAATTACATTATACATTGACAGCATGTCAAACTAGTGTTTGCCAGATGGTAATTGCCCATTAGTATAGAGATGAGGGAAATCCTGTCATTTTCACATATGCCATTATTATCCGCAGTCAGTGGCCCAATTTTAGTTTGGCTGCTATGTGGTCGACTGAATACGATGCTCTGTCTTTCTCCTGATGAGTGAAAAAGGGTTCGTTCATATTCACTGCAGCTTTTCTTTACAGAAAACTAGCTGCTGTACCTGTACCTACTGTTCAATAGGTGACAAGTTTGGGGTTTCACTTTTAAAATGAAGTCACTAAAGGGATTTTAATCTACTGTAGGACAGCTGTGTTTTTTAAATGTGCCTTAAAACTGTTGCTACATGACAAGAGTCAGATTATAACACACTGATGTACAAATAACTGACAAATGTGATTCTTCAGGTCTTTGACACTGTCCAGCTGTCCAGTCTGTATCTGTTCATTCAGCCTATGACAGCAGGGTTAGACTCCAGTGCCCGGTGACCCTAAACCAATGGCCACAGCATCTGAATCAACTCACTTTCATACAAATCAGACAACTCCCAGCATTAGTGGTCAGGTACACCTGTATATATATATATCGCTATGCCTGTTACTTTAGGTAGAGAAAGTGGATTTGTGTGCGCGCCCATGCATTATGAGCTGCCAATGTGTTTCATGCAGATTCATGCGCATGTGCAAGCAGTGCAAGATTGACTGACCCCTGGAAAATGTTATTCTTGCTGCAATGTAATGAGTTATGACTGCTGCTCCTAAGGGAGGCACGCCCCACCCACACACACACTCACTGTAGCATCACTCCCCCATGGAGGTTTTGTGTGGACAGACATTATAAACGGTCTTTAATTACGCCTGCGGATGACTACTGTGGCAAAAGAGGAAAGAAAGACAACAGTTATTCATTTGTCTGCAGGCTGTTACTTGGTGGCTTGTATTTGCTCCCCAGGGAGAGGCATGCAAGATGACAGTAAAATGGAAGGATGGTTAAAATTAAGGATTAAGAAACTCTAATAACTATAATGAGCTTTTTCATAAACAGCAATGAAAGTGGAAGAATTGTGGTTTAAACCCAGGGCAGGAATCAGGAATAAATGAGATGAAACTTTAATGATTCCAAAGGGGAAATTTGGGGCACTGGAGCAGCACACTGTTGAGCACAGATCAGATTTAGACTCCTCTTGCAGGTTAGTAATATGGCTCCTACTTCCTTTATGTAACTGTGTGTACATATGAAAATAAAAAGTTGTAAAATCATGAGTTTCCTGAAGTGTAGTTTCCTGCAGATCATTTGTAACTTGGAAACGGTTAACACTTAAAACAACATTTTTCCTTTGGCAAAGACGAAATGATTAAACAGCTCGTTTAATGTTTTGGCAACACCAGAAGCATTGCTCCAGGGCTTGTAATGTTAGCTGTCGGATCACTATATCATTTTGATTCACACTAAAATATCTCAACAGCTCTTCAGTGGATTGCAGTGAAGTTTTTTTGCAGACATTATGAGTTCTTGTATTCTAATTGCATTTAGACTAATGATCCACAACACCTATATAAAAGTCAAAAAGCATCACCAATTGGTTTTTGAAGCCTGGAGTCCTAGCTGCAGGATTATGACTGAACACCTCTAAGTCAGAATCCTTCCTGCATGCACTGATGCCATATTAGCAGACTGGTCATCATCTTTGTGATTACTTTGGTCACCAGTAGTTTGTATGAAAGACGGTAACTTTTCTGCAAACACTCACCAGCTACTCGCCAAGCAGTAGTGAAAAAGTGAAAAGTGTGACACACACCATGAACAAAGTAAACCCTTTCAAAACACGGTGGTTGCAGCAGTAAGGCGCAGTTTCATTAGCACATGGCGAGTAGTTTGACATCAGTGATCTGCCATGGACCAAAGCAATCACAACCCACATAGCAGACACGTCTGACCCGGATCTGATGTCAAGCCAGCACTGCTGGCTGACTTCGGGCATGGTAAGTGGTATGTCATCCAGATATGGGCCAGGCCTGGCGTAGATGGCACTGTTTATGTGATGCCATGCCACATCTGGCCTGGTTGTAGTTTGGTGTATGTGGCCAAGGCTCATAGAAAACAGGTCTTCCCCGGATCCGGCATCAAGTTGGCACTTCTGACTGACCCTATGTCATGGCAGGGTGTATGTCAACCAGATGTGTGTCAGGTCTGGCAATGATGTCAATGTTTATGCTATGGCATGCCATATCTGGCCCGATTGTGGTTTGGTGTTTGTGGCCCAGGCCCATAGAAAACAGGTCTTCCCTGGATCCGGCATCAAGCTGGCACTTCTGAGTGACTGGTGTCATGGCAGGGTGTATGTCAACCAGATGTGGGCCAGATCTGGCAATGATGGCACTATTTATGTTCCTATTTTCCTATTTTAGTTAGAAGACCCACATGCCATGTTGCAATACTATACTGCTACGGTGGCCAATGTTTCAAATGCAGGTTTGACAGGTTTGTGAGTGTACACTTTATCCAAAACCTAGTGAGGGTTTACTCATGTTTACCACTGGGTGGCTGTAGCTCAGGCGGTAGAGCAGGTCACCTACTGATCGGAAGGTTAGTGGTTCGATCCCTGGCACCTCCAGTTTGCCTGTCAAGAGTATGAATGTAGTTAGGAAGCACTCAGTTTAGAGGTAGTGTGTGAATGTGGCATGTAGAGCACTTTGAGTAATGTGGGGAGTAGAAAAGCGCTGTATAAGAATCAGTCTAAAGAGTTTTGTCTTTTGCACTATTATGTTCCGGCCAGACATGAAACTGTTCTGGACCACCACAAGACCACTGGTGTGTCTGCAACTGGCCTTGTGCTGGCCCATGTGCGGATTACCACTGGCAAACTTGATCTGGGCCACCAAAGGGCCGTCATTCTTTGCGGTATGTGGACCATGTGTAACCACATTGTGTGGGCCAGATCCGGGCCATACCAATTTTGCTATGTGGGAAGGAGGTTTTTGGTGAAAAACCCTCTTTTAGACTGATTTCACCTACGCTGCAGCCGGCAACTTAAACCAACCAATCAGGAACCACAGATTTTTCATTAGTTATCAAAAGTTGCCAGGGAGACGCCAACTTGTCTCTTGGCCTTGACTTTATTTTCTCAGTTATAGCTTAAATCTAGTGCCAGTTAGCAATTACAATGCACTGTTCTCTGAAACTATGACGGTGAGCGTGGTAAACATCATATTTGCTAAACATCAATATGTTAGTATTGTAAATGTAAGGTTTACTTCACAGCACAGATGCATGAAAATGCAGCCTCACAGAGATGCTAATGTGGCTACTAGCTTTTTTTGCAGTGTCAAGACTACCAGAAAGGTAGAAAGATGAATAAGCATTCACTTAAAAAAAACAAACAAAAAAAAAGCAAGGTGGACACACAGTAATCGTTTCTCTTCTCCATGTCTGCACAGCTGATGACAAAGCATCCAGCGAAACGCCTGGGCTGTGGTCCAGAGGGGGAGAGAGACATCAGAGAGCACAGCTTCTTCCGCTACATGGACTGGGAGAAACTGGAGAACAAGGAGGTGCAACCACCCTTCAAACCGAGAGCCGTAAGTCCGTCCCCGCCAAACCCGACATGACCGCAGATAAGCATGTGCAAGTCACAAGTCGCACAATAATAAGTGCGCAAAATACTCTTCGACCGGAGTAGAGACGTGGAGTTTAATTCATTAGAGGTTAAACTCATAATAAAAACTCTCTCTTCTCTTCTTTTATTCTAATTTCCTTCTCCTTCCTATTTTCTTTCAACAACTACCTTTCTCTTGGCTTACTCATCTTTTCACTATCAATGTGATGTTTCTGTCTCTTTCCTTTCCTTTAATTTGGGACAATGCACACAGGTAAGTCTCGAAATGGTGCTCATGATGTTGACAGTGATGCTGAAGGATGTGTGGCGATGAGGGCAGCGTCGGTGATGATAACAATGCCGGGGATGTTGATGGCGAAAACACTAAAAGAGGCTCAGTGATGAACGTGGGCTAGATGAAAATATACTGGACATTGACTGCACTTTTGGATGCACATGCAGAAAATTGGCAGCTACAGTTTGGTGCCGTTGAAATAAAAGAGCGTTTGGTTTCTCTGAGGTTAGCCTGAGTTTAGACTAAACCTCCAGGGGATAATAAGTCCGTACAGAGCAAATGTGTTTGTGTTGTTCGTTGTTAGACGACTTCTTTTTTTTTTAACTTACGACAAAACAAGTTTGATCATGAGCCGAGTCAGAATGATGTCATCTAATACTCACACAAACCCCAGCCACGCAGCCTGAGGCTACAGTGCTGCTAAAGAGTTTTTCAGAGTTGAGCTTTTCCTGCAGCCTGCGGTGTGTGTGCATGCGTGTGTGTTGGACCAGTAATACTGCAGTGTGTCTCTTTATTCAGGACGTGTACGTTCTCGTGTGGTAGAGGTCTCCATTAGGATCTGGCTTTTTTTTTTTTAAGACTTAGACGTGTTTCTGCAGAGTCACACCGTCTATTGTCTGAGCTCTTCTCATCGCTACTTTTTCTCCCTTTCTCTTCATCTCTCTCTTTGTTCTGTTTGATCTCGTCTCTCCAACATCTTGTATCTTTCTCACCCCTGCCCCGTCACTTGCTGTTTTCTCTCTTACTGCCTTTGAGTGGCAATAATAAATAGGTTTGGAACCATTGCGTTTACGCCACATCAAAGTTTAGCTCGGTTTAGCATCTGAAGGCAGTTCTTTGATCTTTTATGGTGCTATGTTGCCAGATTTCTTTCAGTAACCTGTGATGGGTTTTGTCTCTGTGTTATTTTAAGGAGGCTCTCCTTTTATTTCTCACTAAAAGCCTTATCACCACGAAGATGTGCGGCAAAAAGAAAAACAAAACAAATTCCCTGAAACTTGAATTATTTTATCTTTAACTCATAAGAGTTTAATCTTTAATCTTTTGTACAGTACTGTGTAAAAGTCTTGAGCTACCCCCCATATATGGAAATACAATCTATAAACAAAAACAGAGTTTTAACTCTCTTAGGCAGCTTTCTTGTCAGTAGTCTTTAGGAATAGTTCTCCAGACTTCTTGAAGGACATTCAAAGCTCTTCTTTGGATGTTTGCTGCCTTTTCTTCTATTCTCTGCCAAGATGATCCCACACTGCTTCGATCATGTCGAGGTCTGGGCTCTGGGGAGGCCAATCCATGACTGATAGTGTTCCACTGTTTATTTTGCTCTGCAGGTTTGCTTTGGCTGCCTCTGAAGTGTTTTTGGGATCACTGTTAAGCAAAAGAATGAAATCATTTCCAATCACACGCTTTCCAGATGGTAGTTTTTTATGTTCATAATTCAATTTTGACAAGATCCCCAACCTCACTGGCTGAAATTAGGCACCAAACCAGAGCCTCCTCCATGTTTTACAGATGCAGACGCTCACTCTTTGAACCAAAAATCTCAAATTTGGATTCATCACTCCATAAGATCTGTTGCCACTAACTTTCAGTCCAGTTCTTGTGTAATTTAACATATCACAGCCTTTTCTCCCTGTTTCCCTTCCTTAAGAATCGCTTCTTGTCACCCACTCTTCCACCAAGACTATTTCCACCCAGAAATGCCAAGTTTTTGACCGATAGCTTTTTGGAATTGACCTTGCTGGTGCAAAAATACCGTTTGATGCCCTTCAAACTGCTTTATCTTGGTCATTGATGCTGAATGATGTGTTTTTCTAACAGGCTACTAACAGGAAAGTGCCTAAAATACAAATTAAAACTGTTTCTTTGTCTGAGTAGACAAAAGACTGATTCTTGAGTTGAGTAGTTTTTATGCTTGAATGATTCATAGGCCAGTATTCAGTGGTCTATCAAAAAAAGAAATTCTCAGAAAATGGTTAGAAACAAGAACTCAACTGAAAATTAGGGAAAAAGCAGCCAAAAAAAAATGTTTAAAACTTCAGAAAACCCGGAGAACTCTTGCTCAGGACCACTTAAAAAAAAGACAAGAGAAAAAACAATTCCTCTGAGTTTAAATGTAAAGAAATGAGGGGTTACTCAAAACTTCCGTACAGTACTGTATGTTTTATTTACAATATAACTCATAATACTAATCATTAGCATTATGATTATCTTTTACATTTTCCTTATGCAACACATTGTTTACTTTATTCATAATAAACAAAATTCTTATGCTTATTTTGCATTAAAAAAAATGTGAAAAGGAGCCGTTTTAATGAGGAAATAATAGCATGGAAAAATAATTTGTAGGAGACAGACAAACATTTATAGTAAGTTTGTTTCTTTGATGCTGTTTTGGTGTGGGTTGTTGTTTCTGGAGGATATTTGATTCCAATAGGCCTTATTGGTTTGATCAGGAATTAATTTGTTAATATTTTGTTGATTTTTGTCAGTTTGTGGCTTTATGTGCTACTGATGCTTTAATGAATTAGCTGACAAACAGGAGCTGATGAATTAATGAATGACTGACCGATCATCCAACAGACAGACTGACTGGCTGCCTCCTTCATCCACCTGACATCTAAAAAATGTTCCAAATACCATTTTGTTTGGTAGTTACTGTATCGCTGTGCCGTGTTTCCACTCATCTGTCTTTTCAGCAACCCAGTGTCTGTCTTTTTCTCCATCATCCTCACAAAGATATTATCCATCCATCCATCTTCCCACTACTCCATCCATCAAGCCATCTGTCCTTTCATCTACACATTTTATTTGTCCTCTATGTTCACGGTTTTTTCGTATATATTTATTTGCATGCTCTGTGGGAAGTCTCAAATGAAACCTGGAGTGCACTACAAAAATCTTACAGTAGTATACAGTTTAAACTATTACAACTTCTAAATAATATAGTAACTAATACTTTTGTCCAGTTTTTTTTTTTCTTCTAAACGGACAATTCCCAAAATGAACCCCGTTACCTCCATGGTGTCCCTCGGGTTGTGGCTCTTTGACTTTCCATAAACTTCTAAACTTTGTGGCACTCATTTTATTTCCCTTCTCGGCTGATTTTTCCCATCTGCCTCCCCAAACAGGTTAAACAAATGTGAGTAATTAGCTGCAAATACTACTGACCCTGGCGTATTTCTCATTTCACATTATTTCCCCAAACTATAAACACTTTGGCTTAATTTCATTAGGTTTTTTTGGAGTTGCAGAGATTTAATGAGTTTGTAGTTTTCCTCTGGGTGATGTTGTCAGAGGACACTGAATCCTTGTTGTGTTAATTAAAGCTCAGTGCAGTGATGGAGATGGGGGAGGGGGCAGGAAGTAGCTCAGCCCACCGTCCCTGTGAGGGATACTGCCGGGAAAAATATAGTTTTCAAGTTAATAACCAGTTTTATGTACTTAGATGGGAACGCATCTCAAGGGTATATAAGCTTGATTTGGCTTCCCAATGGTCAGAGGAAGGAAAAGGACGAGAAAACAGATTCCATCTGATGTAAATTGGACACTACGTAGAGGAGATGATTTCACTCTGGCACCAGTTACGTCTTTGTAAGTGCTGACTGTTGCCGAGACTCAGATTGGATCATGAAAGCCACATGTCAAGGGTTTCAGTTAAGTGTCACATGTAGGATATTGTGAAGGTTAGTAAATTATTTTGGCAAACTGCACATTTCCTAAGCAAAAATCCAGAGCCTTTTTTCCCCAGTCCTGATGATCTGATTTGGTCTATCAAATCTCTGCAGGTCTCCACGGCTGCAGCATATAATTAACCCACAATTACACCAATAATTATCTTGTGGCTTTAAGCCTTTTCTAGTGCGGCTGTTTAGAAATCCATTTAAATCCAAGTTTTGCAACCGCTGTCCTTAAAAGAAAGCAGAAAAATCTGTTCGTTTTTTTTGTTTTTGCCAAATAAAGGGGAAAAGTCCACACGCCATGCATTAATGCTTGCATGGTCACCAGTTCGGTGTAGTGCACTTCCATAGGCTGTTTGAGACTTCAGTAACCTTGTTTGGAAGTTTGAGTTGAAAATGCTTCAAATATTTGAAAAAGGGAAAGCATACCTGAGGCGTGCTTCATTTATCTTCTCCAAGAAGTGATTTACTCTTTTCTTTTTTCACTTCTAATTAAAAAATGGCATTTTATGCATGACTAATGGAGAGTTAAATCAAGCGCACCCCAAGTACTGCCACTTGTTCTGATATTTGAAACCTTGTTCAAAGTGATGTCATCTCACACCCTGGTTCAACCTGCCATCCCCCCCTTCTTTTGTTTTCCTCTCCTTCTACCCCCCACCCAACTTTGATCCATCCACTCCTATCCATTCCCACTCTTCCCCTTCCCAAATCCCCCCCTGCCTTGTACTCCATCCCTCCCCGCCCTCCCTCCCTTAACAGTGTGGACGAGATGCCGAAAACTTTGACCGTTTTTTCACACGCCACCCGCCAGTGCTGACCCCTCCAGATGAGGAAGTGATTCAGAATCTGGACCAAGACGAGTTCCAGGGATTCTCCTTTATCAACCCAGAGTTCACAGGAAATGCTGCTGCCACCACTGCCACCGAGCAGGCTTGATTACAGCTCACGCATGGACACATGGACACACACGCAAACATACACAACTGTTTCTTCAGGATCAATCCCTACCTAACCCTGAGATACACGCACGCATGCGCAAACGTGCCATCTTAAATTTCTGATGATTTCTGATGATTGTGTCGTTAAACTGACAGACAAAGTAAGGTTTTATGAGAAGAACACACATTGTTCACACTGTTGCAGCTTGGATAATTTGTTGGCCCCTTCTTGAGATTTAAAAGCTTGATTTCGTGTGCTGTAGCACGATTTAATTACAGATTTCATTGAGAGCTTTGGATAAATGCATTTATACAAATTTGTCACGATTAAACACAATCAAATCACAGCTGTAACTTAGTACAGTGCAGCATACAGTATGCAGTTAGCCTTTTCTTAGCACTGAGAGGGTTATTACTATACATCAATCATCCGCAACATTAAAACCACCTGGCTTTTGTTGCCTAAATCCCTCTCATATCACCAGAACAGCTCTGACTCATTGCAGACACACAAGAGTCCCTGAGATGTCCTGTGATATCGAGCACCAAGATGTCAGCAGCAGATCGTGTAAGTTAGATCTGGGGAATTTGGAAGTTAAGACCTTGAGCTCTTTAAAAGCATTCCTGAAGACGTTTTGCAGCATTATGCTGCAAAGTCAAAAGCTGCTGGTGTGTTATTCATTTCTGCTGTCGGTGGTTTAAGTGTTGCGGATGATCGTTCTAAACCAGTTTAGAAAAATAGCGTGCATGACACAGTACATACCAAGAAGCATCTGACGTGCTTTCTAAATCTGTCTTTTTTTTCATCTTGGGTGATTTTCAAATTGTGTTGCTTGCAGTGTGAACAAAGAGTTTGGGTTTAATTTAGCATGCGCAATCAGATAAAGGATTAGAAATTAATTAGGATCTTTTAAAGTTCATAAATCATGGATTTCGAAACCGAGGGACCAAAATAATTGGATTTCATATAGCACAGTTAGGGTGTGACTAAAAGGGTGATTATATTTTAATAAATGCATTTACTAAAACTTTTACAATCTAACTATAGGATTTCACAACTAAACAACCGCGAGATGTCCTGTGTAACATAGCTTTGGCACTCCATTTTCTAACTTTTATTCAGGTGGGAAATGTGATTTAGCTTTTCTTTTACCCATTCCTCAGCTTTTCCAGTGCATTTTGATAAGCCTATAATTTTAGTGTGCTTCTTAGTGGGCTTATATTAATAATAGTGTCTGTGTGTTTATACCTATAAACTGGAATGCTTGACATGCATGCATGAGTTTCTATATCAAGAGTAGCCCTGGACCTTATCTCCCAACTGCATTTTAGCATATTTGCTCATGGAGTATTATTTTAATAATTAATACTGCGAGTTTTCAGGTTTGTACCACAAATATCAGATTGCATGTAATTTCTGTCCATAAAAAATGCTGTTGGGAAATGTAGTCTTTACCGAGGGTTTGAGTCAGACAAATAGATAATGCCATTTCTTGTACTCTGATCTGATGTCTGTTAAGCAGTATTTAAGCGATGAAAAAGACTAGCAGTTATTTCTTTGTGTTTTATAAAAGCATGATTCCAATATCTGACCATTTGTTTACAGTGTGTGTGTGTGTGTGTGTGTGTGTGTGTGTGTGTGTGTGTCGGTATAAGCGTGTTTGTGTTAGGGAACAAGTACTGTCTATGCAAACACACTTATGTGTTTGCATTTTTGTGAGTCCATACAACCTTTTACTTTTGTTAGCGTGGTAAATGTCGGCAGCCCTCTTTAAATCGAGCAGTATTAATGTGGTAGAGGCAGAATAGAAAAATCTATTTGCATTTTAGGAAAGAAATAAAAGAAATTAGAATAAAATGGCTTCTTTGCAAACAGTCTCCAACTACTTTCTGACTGGCAGTGAAACTTGAAGTAAATTTGCCACAAACTGGAGACAGTTTGGCCTTTCTAGTTTTGCATTGCACTTCTCATGGTTTCACTGCTTCAGTTGGTGAGAGTTTGAAGAAAAGTTTTAAAGGTGAGCAACGCAATCCCAAGAAGGTTTTTGGTGCAGCATCATCGTATACCTCTTTTAGATCAAGTTCACATAGCAGTGCATCAATCAATCTCTAGCATCAACCAGTTGACGAGTCTCCACTCATATCCACTAATATCTACTGGTATCCACTAGTATCCTCTCATCAAGTGGTTGATGCTAGGGGTCACAGGTTGGTCTCTAGGTCTGTGCGGCTAGGGCTTTAGAAAGTCCAAAAAATTTTTAGTTTGGATGAACAGTGATGCCAAATTCCACCTCTGTAGACCTTGGAAAGCACCACCTCAAACACACAGCTGATTTGCAGGTTAGGATTTCTTGTCTGAAAGTCAAAAGCGGGCCCAGGTCTCTGCTGTCAAAATGCATGTTTAAGTCCTTGAGCATCTTTAAAAGTCACTTAGCCTATGAAAAGTTTCTTTAAGGACAGAGAAACAGAAAATCAGAACAATATATCAGGCTTTCCTGGGTTTTTGGTCTACTTTTCTAGAAGTAGGAGTTGAGGTTTAACCCACTGTGATTTGCTGTCTGTGTTTGCCATAAGAATAACTGGGACAGAAGGTAATGTTACAGTAGGCCTGCTGAAGTAGAAAACTCTGTGTTTTCTCTTTTGTTTTCCCTAGCAAGCAATAATCCTGTTAGTGATTTACATATTGAGGTGGTGAGGTTAGCAGTACGTCTGTTCAGCTCAGGCTTTGTGTCTCTTTGACTCTAGCCACTTATTAAAGAGGGACAGTGGAGGAGGTCGTTGGGGGGGTTTGTTTGTCTGCAAAGTTGGTGCGTTAACACTCTGGTTCAGTAACTTTCTTCTTGTATATCTGCAGCTGATGGTTTTTGTTCTGGTGGCAGTTGGAGGTCTTCAGGCATCCACTTGATCAGAGTTGAATGGGATCTTTATAATGCATAGTTTAAATGTTAATTATTGTTATTGCCATCAAACGTAACTCTTTAAAATGAGTTTAGGAGAAAATATCAAGGTTTTTTTTTTTTTAATTGACCTTACTTGAGATTGGGTAGAATATATCCTCTATGTCCCCACCAAAGTATTGAAAGTCTTGGTGCAGGAGGTACCATTTACTTGCAGATCCACTTATTATTTGATAGCCAAAAAAGCAACTGCAGGAATGTTTAGATCCAGTATAATTATCCTATTCAAATATAATTCCCTTTTGTGAAAATTATTTGGCACACCTGGATGTTTGCTTAGGTTTAGGGGTTCATCATTTATACTGGGATTAGGTGATAGATTGCAATTATCCTGTCGGCTTCAGTCCAAACAAGCGATGCTAGCAGATTGTAGAGGTTTGTGCACTGCGTAGAAATGCTATCATACAGTAAATTCACTTGAATGAGTGGCAGCTATCAGTGATGCTAAGAAGCTTTAAAAGATAACAGTAAATTAATCATATGTGACAGCTATACTCACAGTAATGTCTGATTTAGCTATAGTTGCACATACTCTGGGCTTCTTCAATGATTGTAATTTTCTTAATTCATTACTTTTTTTTAAAAATGGTAGATATAAAAGAGCCCTGTCGCCTACAGATAGAGTTAAGGTTGTGTCTAAGGTGAGGAAGGGTTAGCAGGAAACTGACATCGCTAAGATTTTTTATCATCATCATTTTGTCGCAGAATACTGTAACACACGGTCCCTCTAATCCAATCAGATGCGAGCAGAGACAGAGGCCTATAATATACCGTAATTTGGCTTTTGATTAAAGCGGTCTCGTTTGGATGTCTTTTGAGTTTAAATGCTGAGTTCAGCAGGGGAGAACATTTCAGTTTTCTATCGTTTTTCTTGAGTGTGAATGAAAATGTGTTTTATGACTCGATGTCGCCTGTGTCTACTTTCTATGTCGAACCTCCATTGTCAGTATTTATTTCAGCCACTGAAATCTAACAGCAACAGCAACTATAGAAATATATATATAATGAAACATATATATTACTGTTAAAAACTGATATATACATATAATTATACATGTGGAGGGGAAGAGAAGTCTTGCTCCAGGATTTGTGTCTGTTTCGATGATTCCTTCCTGCTGATGGAGAAGCAAAAAAGGACTGTGCATGAAAAAAACAACTTTTTTTTAACCTTTTTTATTAGTTAGATATGATATATATTTAACATATTAGGATGATCCATGTTTCTGTGTCAGCAGTGCTTCAAAGACTGTGTGATTCCAGCTACTGTTATTAACGTTATGTATGAGCATAGGTATATACTGAAAAAAGGAAAGAAAAAAATGCTTTAAAAATGCTTTCCATGTGCCATTCTTTTTTCTTTTCTTTTTTTTTGCTTGTTTTTCAAGAAAAGCCGACATACCCAAAATAAAGAATTTCAATGACGCATTACAAGGTGTTTAGTGTGTTTTCGAGTGCACTGTGTACGTTTTAATCTGCTGCAGGAACTGTCTGTGGCTCCGTGGCTCCATGCTTTCATATTTTTTATTTCAGCCCCTCATTTACTTGCTCTTTATTCGTGTCATTCTCACACAAACGCACGCTCCGTTTCTGTCCGTGGAGACCGAACTGATTTGATTTTAAAAGAGAATGACGGGACGGAGGACAGTGAGAGAGAGCAAAGGAGGTAAGAAGACAGAGAGATTAGAGTGATGAGGGCTGACAGACGGGGGTTTTGCTGAGCAATTGGAAAAGAGAAACAATATAAGATGAAAAGGAGAGGGCGGCATTGAACAACAATGAAGGGAGGCAAGAAGAAAAAAGCATTAAGAAGGGACAGTGGCTGGGAGAATAAGATGGAGGGAGGGGACAAGGAAGCGAAGCGAGGCTCCACGAAGCAATGCAGGCGGCTACGACAGGCTGTGCATATTTCATGGCTGCCACTTATCATAAGAGCCTTTTCCTGATGGGGGAGCGTAGGTCTGATGACTTCAAGGAAATAACATGCAGAACACGGCCTACATATACACAGCCCTGCTGAGCCACTCAGCCACTTCTCACCGCCTCTAAAGCTGCTCGCAATCCACTGTAGTCAAGCAGCTGCTGCTCCTGCACATTTACTTTTAATAACTGTATCGTGCACCGTTTATTTCTCTTAGTCCATTTCAGTGTCAACAAGTGTGGAGACCGGCTAGATGCAGAGTTTGTGAACCATGTCTGACCTGTGCTAGAGTGTGATGGGAAAACAAATACAGCACCAGGAATGCTTCTGGCTGTTCATAAACCCAGTGAAGCTTCAAAATCCAAGAATGAAGAGTAAAATCAGGCTAGTTAGGCTTAACGGTTAATGAGAATGGTAAAAAAGATGCCCGATGTCCTGTGAGAAACATCAATGAATCATCTACATCGGTTCTAGTTTTTGCTGGATCGAGCATTGAACATGTGACCGGTGTTCCATGGTAACAACAGCTGCTTTTTAGTGTTAAACAAACCTGATGAGGCTTTCACCCGACCTCAGATATGCATAAAATACTGTATATGTATGGGCTCAAAATGTGGTCATAAATATTTTGTACTTGTAAATCAGGATTTGTATGTGTAAAAAGAATTTGTGTATGTATAAAAAAGATTTGTGTGTGGACTTAGCCAAAGAAAACCCTGTTCAAAACCCAAAACCCAGTTCAAAAAAAAGCGCCCCTCCAACAGCCAAACCCATCTGTTCTCTGATTGGATTGTTACATTTGTGATTGACATGACATTGACCAATCAGATGAAATGAAGAAAAATAGGGTCAAAATTTGTACTTGTAACTTGCAGGGTTTTTTTTGGCTAAGTCCACACACAAATCTTTTTTACACATACAAATCCTGATTTACAAGTACAAAATATTTATGACCACATTTTGAGCCCATACATATGAGAGTATCAAAAGAAAGGTATTTTTCATTGTCAGTAATACATCTACTTTTGAAGCAGTCTCCAAAAAAAGGCAAATGCCTTCCAAATTACCCGGGAACACAGCGTCACGTCTGTATGTAGCAATTTACAACATACAGGTATAAACGTCTACAGCTTCAGCAGTTAACCTGATTTATTTTGCACACGTACAGTTCCACATTTATACGCTGATGTTAAAGTACTTTGGCTCAGGCAGCAGCCATCGGCTCTGTGACTCTTGTTGACATTTTATCACAGAATGTCCTTAATTTTTTTAAATCAATGTTTCCTCTACATAAACACATTTGTAATGTTGTTTTCCCCAAAATGATAACTAGTTTGACATTTATGGAAATACTCAGACTTGTTTCCCTGCTGAGTTAGATAAGAAGAGTGATTCCACTCTAGCGTCTATCCATATGAAGCTGGAGTGTAGCTTAAATATTCAAAACAGCGTTTTCTCCAAGTCTAATTCTTCTACCAGCACTACTGATGCTTCTTAATTAACAGGTTACACGTACACGGGGTCTTTTGAGGCCATGTTCTCTGTGAGGTGCAATACATTTTTGGTTTAAAGATAGAGGCCATGCAGGGCTATAAGCATGAATAAATCTAATAAAACAAATTTTTAACTTACTATACAGGACAACAGTAACCTCTCACTGAATCGTGTCGGACTGATGAATAAGAGGACCGTGACTCACTGAACATTCTTTTATTCATTTATTTTAAAGAATGAAAGCAAAAGATATTATATTAATTGTGAGTTGTTGGGGTTTTTTTTATATAAGACTTGTAAAAAAAATTAACAAGGACATTAGACAAGTGCACATAAACACTTAAAAAAAATAAAAGACTATAATTAACACATATGCAAAGACTGATTATAAGTTTGATTGAATTGTTAAAACAAATGTTAAGGCTCCACAAAGACAAACCTTTGCTAGGAACTTGTTGCACCATAATTTTGCTTGGATGTGTTATGAGCTGATTCAAGCAGCAGAATTAGACTCAAAACTGAATAAACTAAAGTTGGAAAATGCTGCATGATAAAGTAAGTTTAAACACTTTTTATCCATATTCTTGAATCACAGGTTTACTTTACAAAATGTCATGCATCTTTACAGCCCTTTCTTTATAGTGTAAATTTATAGTCACCAACCACTTCTTCAGGTCTTTGGTCACTTGGTCAACTACCTGTTAACACAAATGATTAAACAGCCAATCACAAAGCAGCAACGCAGTGTATTTAGGTATATAGACATGGACAGAACTGGCTGATCTGCTGAGATTTTCCCACAAAAACATCTCGAGGGTTTACAGAGAATGGTCCAAAGAAGCGTCAGTTGTCTGAGTGAAAATGTCTTGTTGATGTCAGCAGGCTCTTAGCAAGGCAACAGTAATTCCAATAACCACTTGTTACAGCCAAGGTATGCAGAAGAGCATCTCTCAGCACACATTTCCTCTAACTGAGGAGAGTGAGGTTTCAACGAAACTGGATAATAGAAAATTGGAAAAATGTTGTCTGATGTGGTTAATTTCAATTTCAACTACAACATTTAGATGTTAGGATTAAAAGGTTGAAAACATGGATCCATCCTGCCTTGTATCAACGGTTCAGTCTGCTGCTGCTGCTGGTGTAACGATGTGGGGAATATTTTCTGAAAATTATTAAAACACCACAATCTAAGTATTGATGATCATGTCCAAACCTTTATAGCCAACATCTGATGGCTGCTTCCAGCAGGATAATGCACAAAACTCACAGAGCCCAAATAATCTGGTTTCTTCAACATGACGATTAGTTCACTGTACTCAAATAACCTCCACAATCACCAGATCCCAATACAGTACATTTGAGATTCACATCACAGATGTACAGCAGACAAATCTGCAGCAACTGTGTGATGCTGTCGTGCCAATATGGAGCAACATCTCTGAGGAATTTTTCCAGCACCTTGTTGAATCTGTGCCACAGAGAATTAAGGCTGTAAAACAAAAAGGGCTCCAACCCAGGACTAGCAACCTGTACCTAATAAAGTGGCCGTCAGTGCTGTAATCATTTATTGGAGGACAAGAATCATGTTCGCTAATTTCAAGTTTTGATATGGAGCTAGGCGAAAACCTTAGCTCTGACATTGAAAACAAATGATACTGTGTAAAGAACATTTCCCTGATTATACAGTATAATAGGCTACATACATTTTAATGGTCAAGAATAGTGTTTTCCTGTTGCCTTAGCCCACAGCCAGAACAGAAAATATACTTTACCTCACGTCCCTCTGTTAACTTTACACTAACGCTGTAGTGCAGCTGTATTTTATGCAAATGTTTTTTATAAAGCAAGTCAGATTCCTGTGTAACAGCAAGTTCCAGCACATAAGCTGTATAAAGTTTGTATTGGAGTGGATGTAATAGCCAGTGTACACAGTAAGCCACAGCAGTGCTGGAGTATGTATGATAATTAATTCCAAATGTTGCGGCCCCCAAATTAAAGCCAGTGGCTTTAGCACAAAGCAGTCGGCGCTTATCAGCCCAAAACAGGTCAGCGTTCGATACCGCCTTTCATTCACCCTCCTCTCCTCTTCACCTCCCCTTTCCCGTGCCTCCCACTCTCCCCACAACCTCAGCTGACATCGGCTCGTCTCCCACTAATCCTCTTGTTACTGAAAAGAGATGGGATGAGAGAGAGGTGCAGGGGAGTCGGGCAAAGGGAGAAGAGGAGGAGAGGAAGGGGAGGAAAGGTGTAAGGAGGCAAATACAAAATTCAAGATTCAGCCATGTTCCTCCATTAAAATCAATGCTACCAGAACACAGTCGTGTGTAATAAAATTGTGTGTCTTGCTTAATGTCACTGCATATTCTGAGCTTTCTAGCTATGTATCTATACCAAGAGCCACTGATATTTATCTCCCTCTCTGTCCTTTGCTGCATCTCTTTCTCTCCCTCTCTCTCTTTTTTTCTCTTCATATCTCTGTCTCTCTGCCTTGCAGCATTAACTGCAAATGAAGCGTGTTGAGATGGAACACATTATGAGCTGGCCTACATGGCTGGCAGCTGTGTGTGTGTATGTGTGTGTGTTCATGTTTGGTCAATAGCTGGAATGCACACAGCGGACCATTTTCAAGGTTTTGGGAACGTACACACGCATGCATCTTTTCATATGTGTTTGTGCTTCCTGTCTGCATAATTCTATTGAAGGATGCTCAGTGCTGTCAACTACCTACATACACATGACTCCAGATAAGCAACTTACAATAGGAGTTGAAGCATCTCACTTATGGAGCTTCAGAGACAGGACATTTGGCCTTTTATTAAAGAAAGTTAAATGTGTTTGTAAACTAAATCTAAGAATGAATTTGAATCAGAGGGCCTTACATAGCAAACCCATACACAGGGTGGCAATTTTCCTAGACCACTTAGGGAGAAATGATAGACTATAAAACTGGTGGGTTCAGCAATCAAACATAAGAAACAGATATCACTAAAACAAGAGATGCCTGCAAGAAAGGCAA